TCAGTGATGGTAAAAATGTAGCATAAGATGTTTCTAAAAACAGTCGCACAAAATGCCTATGCCTCAATGTTTTAATTCAATATATTCATACACTAAATTTTTCAAAAATTTATTTTATGCATTTTTACAACGTTTTTGTATTTACCCAAGTTTCTTGAACCCCGAAGAGTGTAAATGGTTTAATTTTAAAGTTTTTATTTTTTTTTATTTTTGTCATTTTTTTCAAACAGACACAGGATGTCCCAGCGAGTTGAAAAAGTCTATTAGTGACGTTTAAATAGTAAAATTTAAAAAAAAATGTATAAGACATTGATAGATACTAATCTAGTGCATCACTTAAAATTATTTTCAACCATGCAGCATGTCCCAAAAATACGTTACGATACAAACTTGTGTTTTTTTACATAAAACACCGTATGTTGCTTTGCATTTTTGGATGTAGCCTTTTAAAACAATGTTTTTACGCTAAACTTTTATTAGTCGATTTCGCTTAGTTTTAAAATAACACGTTTATTTTGACGAAAACATGCATTTTTAAAAATTTATTACACAAAAACTAAGACAGCTAGAACAAATTTTTTCTTACTTCTGGAACGAAGAAAGTACAGAAGTTAAAGCTGTAGCAATTTTTTAGTGTTTTGCATTTGTAAAGATTAATAAATTAAGAAGTTTGTTAAGAGTTAAATAACAGAAAAAATTTAAATAAAACTCCCTATTTTTTATTTTTGCATCTAATACATTGATAAATTGTCTATCTAAAAAAAAACTTTTAATGTCTAGAACTGATAAATGAAAAGATATGTAACATTCAATATTAATTGTAGCAACAATGCCTATCAATACCTGAAGCATTGTAGGTACTATGGCAACCATAGTAATTCCACCACGAATCACTTATCCATTGATTTATCCAGAGTTTGTAAAAGTCGTTATAAATACCAAAAATTCGAATTATTTTATTGTCAAAATAAAGAATAAGGGATTTAGTTTAACACAAATGTGATTATTAAGTGATATTTCTTCTATCTCTTGTGCAACTGTGCACTTTTTGGCTACTGAAACAATAATAATTTTTTTATGTTTAACGTTAAATATATTTTTAGTTATTGATTATAAACACTTAAAAGTAAATAATTTTAGAAAGACAATTTATAATCTTTTAAATGCAAAAACAATAAATAGGGTGTTCCATTTAATTTTTTTAAGTTATTGAACTTTTAACAAACGCCTTCATTTTTTTATCTTTGCAAATGCAACACACTAAAAAAATGTTACAACCATATAGCTTGTACCTTCTTCTTCGTGGTAGTAAAAAAATGTATTTCTAGATGTCTTAGTTTTTGTGTACTTAATAAATTTTTAAAAAGTGCATGTTTTCGTCAAAAAAACCGTCTTATTTTTAAAACTAAGCAAAATCGACCAATAAAACATTGTTATAAAAATCTACATCCAAAAACGCTAAGAAACATAGGTGTTTCATTTAAAAGAACACAAGTTTGTATTGTAACTTATTTTTGAGACATGCTGTATAGTTGAAAATAATTTTAGGCGATGGACTAGATTAGTATCTATCAATGTCCTATATATATTTTTTTAATTTTACCATTTAAAAGTCACTAATGGACTTTTTCAACTCGCTGGGACACCCTGTATAAAAAAAAATGTCCTACGTTAAATAGTTATCAAGAAAATTGCTGATTAAGTCAAAAATATCCTAAATATTAATTCAACTATAACTTCTACATGATCAAGAATTTTGCAGTTTTCTCGACGCTAATAGATTTCTCGGAACATTTTACATATGTATGCATAAAAATATTAACGTTTGAGGTACAATTTTGCCGCATTTTGCAAAATAAAAAAAGGAAAAATTTGCGAATCTTCTGAAGTTATGACAATTGTATATAAAATTGGAATGTTTAATTTGGTTCTTTCCAAAATAGTTTTACAATTTCAAAATAAGAAAAGTAAAAATTTGTCAATTTTCTGAAGTTATGACAACATTTAAAAAATTTGTATACGAAATTTCGAATGTTTAATTTAGTTGTTTTTAAAATGTGTATAATTTTAGTTTTATTACTACTACAAAATACTTTTGCCTGAGTTTGTTCCCCCCTCGCTGCGTCACTGCCGAGATGTACTTTTTTCGAAATTGGCAATTCATCTTAGACCGTTTTCTCCTTTCTTAATGACAAACAACCTATATATTTTTTCCACATTTTTATTTACCTTGTGATTTTTTTTACTGGTATGCTGTTACTGACATTATTGTGTTTACCAGATAAAAAACATGGACTAAGAATTTGGGTAAAAAAATTGAAGACAAATTTTCAAGTTTGTAAAATCTTAATTAGTGTTCTTGAATATTTTGCCGGATCAGTTGAGAAGTAGGTAAGGGTGTTAGAATTATAGGTTGAGTAGTCCTCCACTCAGTTCTTAAGGGTGGCTTATAATAGATTTAATTTAAAGTTGAGGGTTCAAATTTTTCGGCAAACAATCAGCTTAAAGATCGCGAAACAGTGAGAGAAGAGAAGTTTAGTGGAAATTTGACTTGAGTTGCTTTCATAAGGATCGATATGAAATTGTTGCAAATACTAAATGAGAGATAATCTATAGGATTGATATTATTAAAATGGGATTTATTTAACTGCTCGTCGAAATTCATAGTAGGATAAATTTAAGATGTATTGAAATCCCCTTATATACAATTTGGATCTGAGGTAATCATATTTAATTAATAGTGGCATAACGATAAGCCCCCTCGGCCCCGTGAGGCCTCGAAAGGGTGTTTCTAATTGAATAATTCTATTGTTAGGGCAATAATGCCGATTATAAGTAAAACTTCTTTTCTAGTCCCGAAAATTGAAATATCGGGCGAATCTGACATTTATGTGAAGACCGGAAGCACCGTAAGTCTAAAATGCGTGATCACCCAGTCTTTGGAGGAGCCCGCCTATATCTTCTGGTATCACGACGGCGAGCGCGTCCTGAAATATGATCGGAGTGCAATTGATATACGCACAGATCGTGTGGGAACAGACACCACAGTGAGCACACTCATCATATTCCACGCCCGGACGGAAGATTCAGGAAACTACACCTGCAGCCCCTCCAATCTAGACTCAGCAAGCGTTCTTCTCCACGTTCTCAACGGTAATCGCAAATTCGCCCCTATAAACAATTACTTAACTTGATTACTTCCAGGAGAGCATCCTGCTGCCATGCAAAGAGGCAAGAACTCGGCTTCTCCCATTCCTGCTTGGTCCCATCTCTCCATGGGACTTGGACTCGCGGCTTGCACCCCACCGAGATTCGCCATCGCCGTGGCCCTCAGCTTAGCAGTCTTGGTCGAACTGCTAGCTACATAAACTACCAACGTCCGCGCTTAAGATCATTGGTTCCATTTTTGTTACTTATTTTTAATTAGATTTTATATAACTGACTTAAGATAAAAAAGGAAGAAACGAGATTGTACTATAACAAAATTTTGCATTTTAGACGTTTTTCATTACATTTTGAAAAGTGTTTCATTTTACTTTACGACCACTGTATACGTTTTCAAACAATAAATCAAATAACTAATGGCAAGGTTTGAATTTATAGATGTAGGAAATATTTTCGTCGGTTGGTGGCGTAACGTTTGAAGAAAAAGAAATTTTCTATTTTCGTCATTGTGAATTTCTATTATTTCCATGTGAAAAGGATTTGTGTAATTTATGTAACGTGGAAACGAAATTTATCGCCTCTATTTGTGAGGACAATCTAATTTTCGATTTGTTGGTGTTAAATTGGAGTTGGATCCTTCCATAAATGAATTTATTGAGCAACTGTGATAAGACTATGTTTATTGCATGCTGTACGAATATTTTCATCAAGAATTGATGGTGATTGTTACTTGTTTTATTGTTTGAAAAATAATAAATGGTTTTTGTCATGTAACATTCACGTACCTACATACACGTTACTTCAGGAACTGTCGTCCTCTTTCATCTTACATACCCACATACACAATATAAATGTAATTTTTAATAAATGAATTAACTTCATGTGTGAAGTGAGACTACACTACTTACTGTTGAACTTGCAGTGTTTTGTTTGTAAATAATTCCAGGTTATTCAGTGAAATGGACGCATACTGAAATGTGAGTTAATTTAAGCCTAAAATTAAAGGTGTGATTAATTAGATAAGTTAGTTAGTTCTAAATGTAAAATGAATATCATTGCAGTTGTATTTCTGATATGATGGGTGAAAGAGCTGATGTATAAAGTATTTTTACTGTAAAAATTTTGATTATCTGTTTAATTGTTTTTAAAAACTCGAATGTTCGTTTTGCAATGCTGTAAATCTTTCATTTTAATGTTGTACATTATTCAAAATCTAGCGTTCATAATTCAAATAAAAATGTAAATGATCCGCTGTTACTCAAATCTGTGAAATTATTAGCCCTTAGGACTTACCTTTATTTTATATCAATTTTATTGATGTATTTTAGGTAAGTACAGAATGTAACCCAACTTTATGTTGAATAAATCGTTATAATAAATCACTCTTTCATTTAAAAACACCTCATCTAAACCAATTAAATGACACAAAATAATCTTGAGCTTGACATTTTATTTTATTTCAAATAATCAGATATACAAACTTTTGTATTTACCTTTGGTACAGTTTTGTGAGAGATGTACTACGCGTTTTTATTAGATTATAAATTATATAAATCTGCTTCAATTTAATAAATACATAGGAAGATTAAATAAATCATAACAAGTTACATAAACATTTTTTCTTTAATAAAACATTAAGCTTAGATAATAATTACAAAAACTTTTATGTTTCCATTAATTTATTTTAATCTAAATTACATAAATTTATGTTCTAAAGCATTTTTGATTTTTAATACAAAAAACATTATTGGGATTTATCAATTTGAAAATCGCGCGTTACGTGTCGCCAACCTATCTTGTGGCGGAAAACTGACAGTCAAGATTGCCACCTTTGGTGGAGTTTTGACTGTTGCTGATTCAGTTTCAACGTTTTGAAATAATTTTCTGTTTATTTTCACCAAAAATTTTTCAAATTGCTTTAGTTTCAAGGGATGGATGATGTTAATTTTGCACACAGGGCACGCAAACGTATAAAAGAAGTAAAGAAAAAAGCTCGACCAGGTAAATCAGTTACTAAACCTTAACCTCTTTCCCTTATTTTCTAGAAAAGTTGTAAATAACGTTATTAATAATTTTTTTCTTGACATAGAATTAAGCACTAAAGAATCCTGGATCCAATGCAATTATGCAAATAATTTTAAGAAATTTTGGGACTTTACTGACAACTGTGAACGCATTGATGAATCCAAAGTTTCACAGCGCGAATTTATATCAAATTATGAGCTTCCCTACAAACCAGTCGTTATCACTGGAACTCAGGTAGGCTGGAAAGCCAACGAAAAATGGACCTTAGAAAAATTGGTCAAGAAATACAGAAACCAAAAATTTAAATGCGGTGAAGACAATGACGGTTATAATGTTAAACTGAAAATGAAGTACTATGTACATTACATGCTCAATTCTAAAGATGATAGCCCCTTATATATTTTTGATAGCAATTTCGGCGAGGTATCCCCCACATAATCATTCATTCCAAAAAATTAAAACACTTTTACAGCACCGACGCCGGAAAAAATTATTAGAAGACTATGAAGTGCCCTATTACTTCAGAGACGACTTATTTAAATATGCGGGAGAAAACCGCAGGCCGCCCTACCGATGGTTCGTCATGGGCCCAGCCAGATCTGGAACAGGAATACACATTGATCCTCTAGGAACCAGCGCCTGGAACGCTCTCATCCAGGGCCACAAAAGGTACAACATAATCCAACCAAACTTTTTGTAGTGTGCTTTAAATTATAAAAGAAACATTGAACACTGAATTTCCTAAAGAATTTTCAATTGTTTAAACAATTAGAGGCTAATTTTTCTTAGGTGGTGTTTGTTCCCGACGCACACGCCTAAAGAACTGCTGAAAGTGACAAGTTCTACGGGTGGCAAACAACTAGACGAAGCAATCACGTGGTTCAACTTCATCTACCCGAAAACCAAAGAACCGTCATGGCCTGCCGACTGTCAACCGATCGAAATATTGCAAAAACCGGGCGAAACCGTTTTCGTACCCGGAGGATGGTGGCATGTGGTCCTCAACCTCGATACCACAATCGCCGTGACGCAGAATTTTTGCAGTAGGACTAATTTCCCAGTTGTTTGGCATAAGACAGCTAGAGGCAGGCCGAAATTTTCGCGAAAATGGCTCAAAGCGTTGGTTAAGCATGAGCCAGACTTGGCCAAACTGGCTGAGAGGATAAACATAGAGCAGCCATCAGGGATGGCGTCGGATAGTTCCAGCGACTCGTCGTCGAGTTCCAGCTCCGATTCGGATAGTACGGACTCGGAGGATGGTGACAGTGGCCAAGAGTCGATTACTGCGAAGAAGAAGAGGAGAAAGTCTGATAACGAATCAGAACGCAATAGGAAAATTTCTCGCACCAATGTAAGTGGTTAGTGGGTTTTGGCCCATTGAGGCGCTTGATTTATTATTTGTTTTGCAGAGCTCTGAATGCGCCACGGATTTTAATTCAAATCATCGAGCTTCCATATCAAGTCTGTCAACGGATGATCCAATGTCTGTGAGGCAAGATTGATATCTAAATTTTCAGATTGTTTTTTTTTCTTGTTTGTTTAGTTACCATTCTTTAGTCCGTTCTCCTAAAGGTTTATTAGAATCTTATTAATCTAGTTAATTTGTTTCCGAGTATTTAAACGTTGTATTATTTATTATCTCTTTCAAGAAAAATTGGTAAATTGTACACAATACAGATATTGTAAATTTGTGCCAATTTTTGTAAGAGGTGACTCCAGCAGTATTTAGAACGGCATAATTTACCAATTTTTTAAAGGGGTTATTGTTTAAAAAGTGATTTTCTATTTTGTATTATATCTTAGCTCCCTCAAAGATTATGTATATATTCCTTGTTGGGTCATTTTGTGATCTAAGCTAGTGCCTGAATTTGTATATTGGTATTTAGTAAATAACTGCAAATGTATACACAAGATGAAAAATTATTTAAGGCTCAATATTTTATTGGTTATTTTCACATAGACAAAGACTACTTAAGTATACATGAGGACAAATTGATATTTTAATAAAAATATTACTGACTGGTCGACTAAAATATTAAATTGTCCTACATATACTTTGTGAAAATTAGACAGTAGTAATTATTTTTTTAGTACAATTGTAGGATAGGAACACTCAATTTGACTAGGAATTATATTCAGTCACAAAACATAATTGTTCAGGCACTTTATCGTTTGTTAAATACTTCTTATTTATTTACAGTTCAGTTACTGGGCTACATACTTAATTTTAATCTGAGGACATAATTAAGTTTGGCTTATTTTGTTACATACCACAAAATGGTGTTCAAGCCCATTACCACCAAGTATTACTCAGAAAAAAATGAACAACTATGTAACAAGTGTAATCAACTTTCTGTGTGTGCCTTTTGTCTTTTGAATATTTCTAAATAAATATGAATTAATAAATACAAACTTTTATTTTGAACGAAAGGAACCACAAAACATTGTCATATAAACTAAAACACATTAAAATTAGTCTTTCTTCAAATACTTAAAATAGTGAAAATCAGTCTTATGTTTCATGCTCATAAATAAAATTATAACCATATCAGTAGCAATAGCAAAAAGTGTGCAAGTGAATGATGACATGAAATTTACTGTTTCCGGATTTACAAAAAGTATCGACATGCGAAACTGATTGTGTAAGACTAGAACTGAATACAAAAAATAAAAGCTATATTTACGCAAACCAAATTTATGGTAACAAAAGGGAGAAGGGCATGAAAAAAGGCAAATATCGTAGTAATCAGCAAGCGCATGCAATGCTTTCTCTTGCAGATAAATGCTACCCAAGACCAGCATCCACAATACCGAATACCTGAGATTATAAGTGGCCACCACCAAGATTATTGCCATTATATGGAACAGAACTAGACGTTTATCCTTCGCTGCTGCAATCTCTGAAAATACAGCAATAAAACTAAAGTGATATGACCACAATTCGCACTTACTGTCACGAATATATGATGTTAAGGGCAGGTTGATATTCAAAAAACAGTCCTTGATTAAGATAGAAAATTCAGCTACATGAAAGTCAAACATTGAGTGCTTTAACCAGTCAAATTTTTTTAAACCGAGTGCTAATGTCTCAAACTCAACTACTTGTGCGCGGTAATAATACCTGGTTCTAAACTGAACTGCCCGCAGAATTGAGAATATTTGTGGTTTTCTGAAAAAAAACTGGTAATTTCTGAAGACAATTAGAACTATATTTACTTACAGGAAAAAATCTCCGATTATGTCATATTCTATCATTTTAAACGACATTAGTTTGTAAAGAATAACCCGGGATCCCGCTGATGTCACCATTATCCACCAATTTTCATTCTGGCACCAATTTGAAATATATTTTTCCAGTATGCTATAAAAAACTTACCAATTCGTATCGCTTATCAAAAAGTTGCACAAACTCAGTAAAAGAAATCCAAGGTAAGTAACACAAGTATGAGACCAAAACAAACACTTTAGGCAGTTTAAACGTCGCTTTCTTCTCCAGTTTCTCAGCCGCACATAACAATTTTGTAGCCATAATTATGAAAGTAAGAACGAATTGATCGAAATCACTTCGCTCTGTGTGAATCCTAAAACTGTAAAAGAATTAAAATTATAACCACACCCTCACGAGATTGTTACCAAAACGAGGAATAAATTAAGATTAGTATTTTTAGTGTTTTTTGCATATTCCATTTAAGCAGTTTTTTCGAAAGCAAAGCAATAGAAAAGCATGCGGCAAAAATCACAATTGTGCTTATGGAAAACAAAAATAATTCAGTCGAGACTAAGAAAAATAAGTGGCCAACACCAAAATAACAGCCTAACGAAACAAATGCCCTGGGAACAGCTAAAAAGCAAAAATGTACTGTTAAATACCAAATTGGTGCTTACAGTTGTATGCAATTTCCGCGAAAATTCGGTTTGCAACAAATGCCACAGCAATGCGAGTTGCTCCCTGAGTGAGAGGAACAACGAGAAAGTCATTAAGTTCTTGCCTGAAAAGAAAATTGAATGTGTTTTTGTTAAAGTTTTACTTTGGAACTTACAAGAAAGCCTCCATTGTCAATTTTCGTACAAAATGTCAAATTATTCAATTGTTTTATGCCGCCGCCACTTTGATTAGTAGTTTTCGAAAGAAATAACCGGTGGCTGCAGGGGTACCTACATTGAAAATAAAAACACAAGTTTTTTTGAATACGCAAAAATTATCATTTTATTCGGAAAACAAACAAAAAGTAATTGAGATGTCTTTCATATATGCATATATACATACCCACTGTGGAATGTAAATTTAAAAACGTCAATGAAAAAATTTCTTATTTTATGTTCCTCACACTTAATGAAATTTGTGAATAAAAACTCAGTAATTAGTCTTTTTGTAGAAGAAAATTTAGAATAAATACTTAAAACGTGCGCGAGCTTCTTATTTAACTATGAGCGGCCAAACAGTTTTTAAAATAATGAAAACAAATTATTGATGTGAGTTAAAGTTTGCATATTTTAAATTTGTAGATTTAATTATAAGTCAATTAAATACACTAATTTATAAAACTTTATCAAGGAAAAAGTATTTTACTCTTGTTTTTTCAATTCCAAGGTCAGTGTCTAGTGACTTTTATATGTTGTAGTTTGTCACTGAGGAGCATAATCTAACCTCAAATTCAAAAAAGTTAAACAGATCAACACGTGTGACAATTATCTAAGGAATCTTTTACATATGTACAATTTTTATTAAAATTATCTACAATGTCATTTTTTATCAAGTCGAAGCCTGTTAACGGTCTTGCAAGAGTAAGTATTCAAGTTTGGAAAAAATAATGTCCACATTGTCTTCTCTAGTTTTCCTCAGATAACCGTAGAAAACGAAAAGCTGAACCTACATCAAGTAAGAATGAAGAAGTAACTAGTAGTGAAGATGAAGGAGATGACGAAAGTGATCATAATCTTAATGAACAGTCGTCTGAAGATGAACATGAAACCGCACAGGAGAAAAAATTAAGACTAGCTAAAATTTACTTGGAGGAAATTGAGCGAGAAGGTAACTTTTTGTGCGTAAGAAGCAGAAATTTACTAAGTATTTATTTTTTGCAGAGCAAAGGAGGTTACAAGACAAGGAAGTCAGTAAAGAAATTATATCAGAGAGACTAAAAACGGATCATTTGAAACAAATCGGGAAGTACAGAATTACAATTGCTGATAAGTATCAAGGTGTAGACCAAAGTAATTATAAAATTTTGAAATGTCGTGAACAACATAACACCATTACCTGCCTCTGTTTATCATCAGATGATAACTGGATTTTTTCTGGCAGCAAAGACGGAATTGTAGTTAAATGTAAATACTGTCTATCAAGTTTTAAAACGTATTTAATACAATTTTTAGGGTCTCTTAAAGAACATAAAAAACTTGGAATTATCCCATTTGTTAAAGTAAATGTTGGCGAAGTTAAAGGCCACACAGGCTGTATTTACAGTATAGCAATATCTACAGATACCAAATTTCTAGTAAGAATGTACAGGTTTGATCTAGCATTGTTTAAGATTAATTTTTAGGTTGTTGGAGATACTTCGAATTTAATTCAAGTCTGGGACCCCCACACTCTACAACATATTTCAACTCTAAAAGGACATAAAAAACCAGTCACTGCTCTTTGCATAAAACACAATAGTCACACCTTGTACTCAGCCAGTAATGACAGATCTGTTAGAGTGTGGACTTTAGATGAAATGGCGTTTGTTGAAACATTATTTGGTCACCAAGATGGTATTACATCAATTGACGTTCTTAATTCAGATAGACCGCTCTCAAGCGGGGGCAGAGACGGCACTGTGAGACTATGGAAAGTCAGTGAAGAGTCCCAATTGATTTTTAATGCCCATCCTGGGAATATTGACTGTGTTAAATTGATCAGTGACCAATCTTTTGTGTCAGGAGGGGATGATGGGTAATATGAAAAGTCAAGGCTAACTAAGAGTGTCATTAATTTGATTTTAGACAAGTAAGTGTTTGGAGTTGCTTGAAGAAGAAACCTATTTCATGTGTTAAAGCGGCACATGGATTTGATGCAAGCAACAATCAACCGTTATGGATAAGTGCCGTTACATCACATGTCCACAGTGATGTGATAGCGTCAGGTTGGTCATGCTGGACTGTTTTAGGTTGGTACTAATTTTTAATTTCAGGATCACATGATGGTTTCATTAGGCTTTGGAAGTTAGAAAATAAATTCTTACAAATAACTAAATTGTTTGAAATACCAGTCACCGGTTTCATAAACGCGTTGGCATTCAGTTCAGATGGGAAGACACTGATCGCGGGGGTCGGGAGAGATCACCGATTGGGTAGGTGGAACACTGTTAAATCTGCAGTAAATAGTATACACATTATATCATTGCAAATAAATGATCCTTGATTTATACGTATTATATTTTTTATTTGATTAAAATTTGTTTAAAAAAGTAAGTACAAACTAAGTAACTTTTCCAAATAGACTAACACCATTGAAAAGTCACACTATCCTTCACCTGACTAATTCTAAAACGGATAAGCTGAAACTACTATAAAAATATAAGAAACAACATTTGCTGTCAGTATGTTGTTTTGGTAGAGATGCATTTGAACTTTTAGTTGAATTTCTTGTGGGCCTTCAATCGATCGTACCAGAAACAGTTTCATAGCGTTGGGGTCAAGTTTGACCATTTTGAAATACCGTTCGTCGGCTTTTTCCACACCATACGGCGCTTGCACGGTAACAACTTCCATTGAAAATTCAGCCCGGGTTATGGCCCATCTGGGTCCATTTATCTGGAAAAATTGGACACTCTCCCGTAGTATTGGAAGTTTTGAAACGAGAGTTACGTAGTGATAAGTGTATTGCTCTGGCATTAGGATACATTGGACGTCTCTGCGGTCGCAGAAATTTTGCGGCAATTTACAACGCCTGAAAATAATTACAGTCACTTGTTTCAAAAAGTAGATTCAATGAATACCCTTTATGCTGGGGATCCCTGATGTAATTATGGGGGCAATTGATTGTGTAGCACTTATAGCCGCCACGGGTATTTAAACAAATGTCATCGTGGTGAGGACAGACGTTTTGTTGGCACTCATCAATATCTATAAATAAATTTCAAAACTTGTTAACTACACTTAACAACTTTGTTTAGCTTAAAGAAAACACTATGTAGATCATTGTAATTTAATGCAATAATATTTCTAGTATTGTCTTCTAATTGTGATACTCAAAAGACGAAGGCACTGTTTTTTTACTTATTTTTATACTGAGCTGTGGTCTGCGACAAAGGCAAACTTAAGTTTTTACTGATTTCAGATTATTGCCCATTCTTTTCTGAATTATGTACCACATTTTCCATAATTTTAATTCTTGAGACATGAAAGATATAAACCTTCAAAAAAAAACGATTTCAATGAATGTTCGTATTAAGTAGGCCGCATGTGCCAAAACGCCAAAATAGGCGCATGGAAACTTCCAATAATTAACCGTTTTACTTGTTATAATCCTTTGAAGTTCCAAGTTTTTCAGATTTTTTTGTGTTCAAAGACGTAATTGTGCTCTTTTGGTGACATAAGCAATAATTTTCGGTTTAATTACCTTTTTATGTAGTCTTTTGTCTGAACGAATATTTAGTAACATTAGAAAAGCAACGTCTTTTTCAATGCTTTGTGAAGAAGTGTCTCTTGCACACTATACTGATAAAAAAAACAGTGCTCTCGTTGTTTAGGTTTAACATTTATAAGTCAAAACTAGAAATGTTAAGTCGAACAAAAATTCGTCGATATTCGACAAAGAATAACAAAAATATTGCAATGTGAAAATCGCAATATTTTAGTTGTTAATTTTGGCCCCTAGTGTAATTACCGATGCAAGTTCTCCCATCGCTCCCTAACCGGTACCCATCTGGACATTTGCACTGGTAACTCCCCGGAACATTGTCACAAATCCCAACACAGAGTTTCTTATCTTTGAATTTCTCACATTCGTCGATATCCGTACACGTTCTATAAATAATGCAAATATTTCCTGTTTTTTGAGAAAAAAATTGTACCTGTTGTCATAACTTAATATAAAACCCTGTTTACAAGCGCATCGATAAGATCCCCAAATATTGACACAGCGGTGTTCACACAATCCTGCATTTTCTTTGCATTCATCAATATCTTCACAGGAGTTGCCCTTACCACGAAATCCTTCTTTACAGTGACATTTGTACGACCCGACTGTATTCACACATTCAGCATTCAAATAACATGCCTAGAAATAAAATTTGAAAACCCAACTTTAGAGTAACGCAAGGTGAAGCAAGTTCACAATTTATCTGAACTTGCCTCACCCTTACTTGGAAGGTAACAAACCCTGTAATGTTTGCATTCGTCGATATCTTCACATCTTTGGGTTCTGGGGTCCATGTGATGGCCCGGAGGACACTCACAGGTGTAAAATCCGTTGCCGTTTTTGCAAATTTGTGTGTCTTTACATTTATGGGTACCTCTTGTACACTCATTTATATCTTGAATTGAATTAAGTAACGACAGCCAAAAAACGCATATGTACTTACCAAGGCATTTCTCTCCCGATTCGTCCATTTCGTACCCAATTTTGCACTGTAGTTCAGAAATGCACTCATACCTACCGTTGAAATTGAGACATTTTTGACCCCTGGGACACGGGTTGCTTTCACATTCGTTTATATCTGGGATGAGAAAATTGACTAAAGTCTAAACAAGTCAGTAATTACCTTCACAGACACCGTGTTGGTTCATTATGTACCCCGGAAGGCACTTTTTGCGTGTCCCGATAAGAACAGGGTAATTTTGTGTACTGAAAGGTGTGGAGAAAACAGGGATGAAAGGGGTGGGTGCAGGTTTTGGTACGATTCGTACAGGGTCACAACGGTAGGAACCTAAAGTGTTGCGACACCTGAAATTGGGACCTAAACTGTTACAAGTGTGGGTGCCTAAGACACACTCATCGTCGTCTTCGCATAAACCATTGGCGTAATTTAAGGTGTAGCCAGTGCCACAGCCCGTTATTCTGGCACATAAATAAGAACCAATTGTGTTGTCACAGCGCTGGGCTTGGGTACAGTCGTGTAAATTTAATTGGCATTCATTTATATCTGAAAATTGATTACCAACTAGGGGAAAAACCGAATTTGTTTTTATTTACCGACGCAAGCTCCGGTTTGGAAATCTTTATTAAAACCAGGCTTGCACTTGCAAATATAACTTCCAATGCTGTTGTAGCATTCCTGACTGCTGTCACAGGCTTGGTTGTCTTCGGAACATTCGTCGATATCTATGCATGAATTAGTTTGCGACGAGTATCTGAATCCTGTTGGACACGTAGCGTGAGGTTTTGGCGTTGTAGTGGTAGTAGTCGTAGTAGTACTAGTGCTAGTAGTGGTACTGGTAACCAGATCTGTGGGTTTTGGGGGCAAAACTGGTTCGTAAGGGGGCCGCAATGGATACTCATAGGTCTTTTTGCCACTTTTTGGGACACAATTGTGCCCTCCCGGCTCATTAACACAGTCTTCATTGGGTCCACACGGGTCTTCATTTTCAACACACTCATCAATGTCGTCACAATTTTGTGTGAGTGGATTTTTTTTAAAACCGGGGGGACATGTTTTTTTCGAAACTTTATCTATGCAAGTGTAATTCCCTTTGGTGTTTAGACACACTTGCGATTCTTTGTTGCAATCATTGTCCCCGGTTATACATTCGTCGATATCTGTGCACGTCTCGATTGAGTCTTTGTAGTGAAATCCTGGGGGGCATTGGGGCGTGTTTTCCTCGCATTTAAACGAACCAATTGTGTTAATGCAAGTTTGTGGCCGTGGACAAATTATATCAAACTCGCATTCATCAATGTCTGAAAAGTTGTCTGAATTTTGGCGTTTTCGTTTTTTTCCCACTCACCATCACAGACTTTTTTTTCGTAATTAAATTTGTAGCCAGTGGGACAGTTGCCGTCTAATTCGATGTCGGTGTTTAGGTCGGTTTCGGGTTGGAAATTCGGATCGTCGCAAAAATATGAACCTTCTTCGTTTACACATTCTTCGTTGGGTTCGCACTGGTGGATTCCCTGGGCGCACTCATCGATATCTATTAGTGTTAATCAAAAAATTCTATTGGAAATACCTTTGCACGTTCTTTTGTCTTTGGCTAGCTCGTACCCTTCCCGACATGAACACTTAATTGCGACGCCTGTGTCGGTGCACTCATGATCACAAGGATTATTCACGGAACATCTGTCATTTTTTTTCGCTGACTTATTTTTATCAGGTTTGCAGGAGACCCCATCGCCCATTAAAGTGAACCCTTTATTACACGTACATTTGTACGAATCTTGGGTCGGGATACAGATTTGTGCACAAACGTCGCCAATATCACACACGTTTTCAAGAGCTAAAATTTAGTTTTTTAAAGGAATAAAATGGTACTGATGTACAAACGTGGTAGTGGAGAGTAAATTGTGGATGGGGTTGATTTAATTGCCGCAGTGGTTGTTCTTTCAGTTGTTGTGGTTGGAGCCTCGATCACCTCTTTGCAACATTCAGTAAAGGCTTTATCGAATGGAAGACCGAGTCCTGCCTCCTGACAAGCTTTCGTGGACTTGCCTGTGTCGCTACCCAATTGACAAGCCTCACAACAGTCCTTAAAAATATTTCGTAGAAAAATGCAACAGTTAATTATATTGTACTTTTTTGAAACCGTCTCCGTTACAAGATTGCCCACTTTTAGCGTCATTTATACCTTGATCGCATTGTACTTCCCTAAAAATTATAAACTAAGTTTGGGTTTGATTAGTGATTTTGTATTACTGAATTCGGTTTTTGCAACAAACGTCGATTGAATGGAGACAAGAAGACTCATCGTCTTTTCGTATTCCCTCTATAGGGGGCTTGAAAGCATCACACTGGAGCCCGGAATTAGCATGCTGGGTACCAACTCCGCAACAATATTTAAGTGTGACGAAATTTAATGCTAAAATATTGCAATTGATGTATTCAATAAATACAGAATGTCGTGCAGACATCAATAGCGCATTACCATAATTTAAAATTCTATTATTCAGAGGCCACGTTAATAATGACTTATTAATAATAACTAGCTCAAAGCCTATTTCCTTTATAAACAACTGACCTAGTTGTGCCCCTATATTAAAAAAATATAAAAATAAAAATACATACCTGCACTTAGAGGAATTATAAATAATAAAACGATGAGTTTGTTCATATTTAGCACTTATTTTAAATTTGAACTGCACTCATCACTGTTATCAAACTGCGTTTATTTACTGTTATTCTCTGTTAAGGGCGCAAGATGCATTTACTTATCTTGCCAAACAAATATTATTACGGACAAATCTACCTTCCCTCTTCTACACACCAACAGATAGTGCTTTTGAACTAATGTAAATAGGAATTTAAAATGTATCCGGTACGTATCACTTTTATTGGTGAACCGTCTTTTCCCTCCAAAATTCTAATTTGAATTTCCCACGGCGTGATTTTGTTGGCGTCGCGTTGGCAACGCTCTCTTTGACATACGTGTTCATTTTGAAGTATGCTATGTGTACAAATCATTTATTTTGAACCGTTTTAACAAATCGTCAAAAAAATGTTCGTGTTTTTGGCCTGTTTTAGTATATTTCAGAGTGTTCTTCTGATTTCGGTTCAAGCACAACGAGCACCTCCGGGAGTTCCGCCTCAACATTATCAAGTAGGCTTAAACATATTTTTGATCTTTTAGTAAATAAGTTTTGGTTTTAGGGGGGTTCGCAACAACAGTACCAACACGTTCCTGTGCAACATCAGCAAGTACCCATGCAACATCAGCAAGTACCTGTGCAACATCAGCAAGTACCAATGCAACATGTACCGATGCAGCAGCAGGTGCCCATGCAACAGGTTCCACAGCAAGTACCAGTCCAGCACCACCACGGTCAACCGCAACAAATTCTAAATGCTGCCAATATTGCACATGAGAAAGAGTACTTTGGTTCAGACTCTGTGTACTTTCAGTAATTCATTTGTTTTCCAGACATATAGCTGAACATATGGAAGTGCCTATTGACACTAGTAAAATGTCTGAGCAAGAACTTCAGTTTCACTACTTCAAAATGCACGATGCTGACAATAACAATAAATTAGATGGCTGTGAATTAATTAAGTCATTAATCCATTGGCATGGTAAGTAGTAATTTCCGACATGACTTGAGATTGTTTTCTGCTTGTGTTGTGTAGAGCAAGGGAGCAAGGAAAAAGCTGGTCAAATAGAGGACAAGATCTTCAAAGATGAAGAATTAGTTACTCTAATTGACCCTATTTTGAATGTTGATGATAGTAACCGTGACGGTTACATTGATTATCCTGAGTTTGTTAGGGCCCAACAAAAGGCTGCTGGTCAGGGCAAACCTACTTCATAAAGGTAGCTTAGCTTTTGTTTTGTCTGTTAATTCTACTGTCAGTTTTTTCCAAGAAACTTTTGTCCATAGGTAAACGTGATATAGTGTCAGCGCCTTTGTATGATGATGACACTATAACACAACTTGTGGATCAGATTTTGCAATTAATGGATAGGAATATTGATGGTTTTATTGATTACGGTGAATATAGACTGTTTTCAGGTAACAATAAGTAACTTAAACTATTTGAGACTGTTAGTTTCATTTTTTTAATGTGGGTTGTGTGAATTTCATTTTGTATGTATATAATGAAAGTTTGTACAAATAAATTCCATTTTTTATTAAATTTGTTTAAGTAAACTGAGAGATCCTATTATACGAAAAAACACTCCTACTAGTTATTAATTTTGTGTTAATTACATATTTAGTTTAATAGTTTGAAGTATCCATCCATTAGTTAAGAAAGTTTTGCTTTTTGTAAAATATTTATTTTAAATAGCGTAACAAATTAATGTTTGGTTTTTTAATTTATTAAAAAGTGGACCAACAAAAATTGAAATTGTCACTTTTTGTTGAAACTACTTACAAATAAAAGAATTTGATGACTTTTTTTTTTCTTTCGTCACCCTTAATTTTATGTAATGCATCTTTAATTCTATAACAGTGCAATATTATCTATGGAGCGGACACGTGTGAATATACGCCTCACGGCTATACAACAATAAAAATGGAACTAAAGAATTTTATTTTCCAGAGACTGAATTAAAAACCTTTGGAAAACATCAAGAAAAAGCTATATAAAATGAAATAAGGAAAATAAAAACCTTTTCATTGAAATATGAAATGTTATGAATCTTTTGTGCTTCTCTTAATTATCTAAATTCCGAGTACGGAAATAAAATAAAAACTAATAGAAGGTAAGTAAGATTCCTTTTCTTTAATAAATTCCACTTTTTCATTGTTTGAATGTCAAGGTTAAAACTTGAGCAGAAATAGTATGTCGGTTGTATTTTTTCGAGTCCAGTTCCGGTAAACTGATGGCCGTTTTTTATTTCTTTGCACTAGGTGGTACGTAATGATTTTTCCATCTCCTATAGAACTAATTGCAATTTAATTAAATTCCGGGAATCCAGCTTTTATTTGAATCAGAGTCAAGTATTAGAAGTACAATTAATGAATATTTTATTGATTTTGGCGAATGTGGATGAATAAAGGACGTTTTAGTTTTTAATAATTTTATTTTGAAATTTTATTTCCAATAAATAGGTTATTTACAATAATTTTATTGTATCGTAACAATCTTTATTATAAAAAGTTTACTTTTATTTATCTAAGTTTATGTTATAAATAGTCATACATCTCATTTTTACATCTTAGAAACGTACACAGTGAAGTTACATTAGCTCTATTTTATTTAGTGTATCGAATGTTAGTGTTAATTTTACACACGCGTCAATACAAAATTAACAAATATGTGATAATTATAAAATGAGAACTTAGTAGGGTACCGCCAAGTATTTAAATTTCTATGAAAATTTCAAACAAAGGTGTCTAAAGAAAAATGATTTATTTTTGATAAATATAAATTTACGTTTATAATTATAGTGGTATGAAAAATGAAACACTGAATTAAAACTGAATTTTTTGCGTTTATTATTTCAACCATACGATATACATTTATTCGACATAATTCATCTATTTATTCCAGCATCAGGATAACAGAATTATAAATATATTATATAGTGAACAAAATTTGAAATTTGAGCATGAATTGTTATTATATTTTATGTAAACGTGAAATTAAAGAAGCCGGGAAGTGGGAGAACATTTTACTCTAGTATATTTCGTAATTTCTAAAGATCGGCTACACATCTCTGCGATACTAATCTAAGTAAGAATGGACAATTGGCGGATACTAAAGACTATCTGGTCTCGCTTCATTCGATCGTCTCTCATTCCAGAAACAGTGCGTGTCTTGTTAAGTAAGAGGTACTTTTGGAAAAAGAAATAGCAGGTATAGTTAAGTAAGTCATCAGTTCGGAGTGATCCGAGATTTTGTATGAGGTTGTCTTGGTAAAAATGCAGACCATTATAGAGATGGTCATTCGTCGCAATGGCAATGCGACCGATTGATTTGGGTTGTAGTCTCGACAGATATGTTACTACTCGTCCAAATTATAAAATGCCCAAAGAAACGTTTTTATTAAAATCGTATTAAATGCTATTGTTAATTCATTCATTATTATCAATTAAAGAATATTATTGTTATTATTTATCGGGTTGGCAGGCAACCCACTTATCCACAAATGGTATAGAAACTTGCGTAATAATTAAAAATTCGAAGTTTATTAAATATGATATTAAAAATGGTACATGATATAAAATGAGGACGACGTGCGCTCGGCCAATACGATGATCAAAACACACTTTATAAAATAAATAGTAGTAGGAAGACGACATCATTTCCTCGAATAATCTGTGAGCAAGGAGGTGGACGAGCCGTGCACACGGCGTCCATCGTCTTACAGACCTCCAGTCGTTGCAAGACAATTAATTAAATGATTTTTTTCAATTACAATCTTACATCCGACTATCGGTCTTCGTATAAAACGTGCGCATTGCGCATCTTACTCGCGGTTACGACTCATTTATATATATACTATTTAATCTATAACTGATCATTAGATTACTTTATTAATTAACTTGCGAAGTTCATCACAATTGTTTTAATGCAGGTGGACACCTTTTATTTGTATCAATGGGCGAACAAAAGGCAGACACGTGTGTACCTCGAACTAAGAGTACCCTACCAACTGGCTACTTGCGTACTTGCGCGTGAGTACTGTGTACTGTGGTACTGTCTAGCTCTAGAGTGATTAGCGTGGAGGGTGCGAACTGCCCAATTGCTGATAACTGACGCACGTTGGTTGGTTGCTCTCCAAGCGAATTCGCTAATCGCAAAATCGGGCGAGCGACTCCACTCGCAACCGCAGCAGCAATGCGCGGGCGCTGCACATAAGTGCCTGCCTTTTAGTTGTCAGTTCAAATGTTCCACAGGAAGGCACGTTCGCTGTTCGCACACGCTGCTGTGCCGACACGATACGCTGCTTGCTTGTATCACAGTAAAAAGTCAGTTCAAAGTCACCCCGCGCCGCGCCTATTGCACGATTATATGTGGCGCCGAAAGCAGCACAGCCACTGTGGCGATGATCGTAAACATAGTGAAGATTATCAGACAAAATCGGTCCACCACCATCGCGGCGAACTTCCAATCGCTGATCACTTCGGCCTCTTCGTCGGCTTTCTTCATGCGGTTGGTGATAAATTGAAGCTCGCGTAGGATATTTTGAAGGTCGCGTTGCGTGCCCGAACTGGGGACGGCTGCCTCCTCAATCGTCGTGGGGTGGCGCATAAACGTACCGCCTAAACTAGTCGTCATCGAAGCGTTATTCCCGCCGGTTGACACGTTCCGGAAATCATCGTCGATGTCCAAAACGTTGGCAAGAAGACTTTTCGAAGATCGTTCTTTCAACTCCAACTCTTTCATCCGACTGTTCATTAGAATCGTCTTCCGGGTTATCTTCTTACCGGGACGACTCATTCCCAACATCCACGGCAGCCATTGTAAGAATACCGTCTTGATCTGAACAATAAAGCATTTCATCAGCTATAACATCAATTTCAAGAAATATCGAACCGAAATGTCAACAACCTTGAAACCTATCAGACGCTTATTTACAATTCTCCCGGCGCATCCACCAAAACCAAACACAACCAAATAAATTACTCACCCACTGAGGCATTTCGTGGATATCAGCCGTACGGTGATGGTAATTTAACACCACCACGGTCAAGACCACTGACGACGCTACCATGAACATGATGCAGTTGAAATAGGTCCCTGCAACAGCCAATTTGTCAGAATCTGTCGTCTGACGCCGTTTTACAAAATAAACTAACTACGACGACACTATCTACTAAATAACGTTAACACAATAAACTACTAATAAAAACATGGCTAATAAATCTACAGGTTAAAAAAATAAAATAAAAAACGTTCGATATAATATGTACAGTCGTTACGCCAAGCACAAACAAACACTCTTCTGAATCGCTACTTAACATATTTTACGTAATAATATAATAATAATAATAATAATAATACATTGAAACGAATGAATAATTTACGTAGTAAATTACAAATAACAATAATAATCAACAACTAGAAACACTCAACAAGCATACATACGCGCACACACAAAACAATCCACATTAGATATAGACTAATGTAAATGTGAACTACGATCGTACCCTCCTCAAATTGTATCACAAGGGCTAGAAGATAGGCCGAGGTCGGCGCGGCAGAGTCGTGGTCAAGATGGACAACCACCGACGCTGCCACGCGAACTTATTTAACGCGCTCTTCGGTTATGAAATTAGTTTATCGATCCGGTTTATTAATAATTAGATCATTAGGTTTCAGATGGGATGAAAGCCAAAGAATATAGTAGACCAAAAGGACAGGCAAAGCGTACTGACTGATGCACACGGACATGTCGAGTGATCAAAGAGAAAAAGAAAGATAGAGTGACGTTATGCGCTTTACGAACGAGCGCAATGCAACATTTTTAATTAAAATGCTTGTTTATGTCTGGCTTAAGACTGTGCATGTATTACCTGGTGTGGTTGCCGTGGCCGTGGCCGCGTCGCGTCTGAGATTGTCGTCATTGTCATCTCGACTATCGCCGATCTGTCGAGTGTCGAGCCACGGCCCCACTCCATGCACCGATATACCATTGCATTACTTTAACACAAACATACAGTTTGTTAAATTAGTTACGTTCAGAGTTAAATTGTTTAAGTTTATTCAAAATATGAAACATTTTAACCCGGCCGACAATTGGTTGCCGGCGGCCACGTAATCGATTATGTTTTTAATTTGTTATTACTGTGAATATTGTTTTAAATAATGTACAGTGTACGAATGTGTACTCTGCACAACTCGATTAGGTGATTCAGTTCAGTTCAGTTGCTAGTTACTGGTCGCCACTATGTTATTATAATAACGAGGAGGTAACGAATCATCATAGATAATAAAAATAATAAAAAACAGAGTAAGTAAAAATACAAACAGTAAGTATAGGAAATGAAACATATCAAACAACAAAACATACAGATAAGATACTCCTAGTGGGACAGAGCCATTTGATACTTGGAGGTAAGAAGGTCATTGGCATACAAGAGTGAGTCGACGAACGAGCGCACCCTAGACAGCCTAGGCAGTAAGACTGAGTTTGAGTAGCAGCAAGAGACGCAGGTTGACAGAGCGGCGGAACGCCCGCCGTCCTGTAACACAGGTGACTGGAATGGAGACAAGGACAAACTAGACCAAAAAGGGATCCTGGAAAGGGCGGAGCCGTAAATACAGCTTTATTGTCGACCAGTTTATCGAATTGTAGTTAGAAAGTTGGTTGTTTTAGCCTCGGCGTAGTAGCCAACCATTCACCCCAACACAGTAAGAAAAGCTCTAGTCAGAAAGGTGACTAGTAGACTAGTCGTGTGGCTGTGGCTGGGCGAAGTGCTGTTACGGTCGACGCTCGCAGATCGCAGAGCAGCAGCGCATGCAGAGCGCGGGCCCGGCAGATAACACTGGAGATGATTCGTTTCGTTTGTCCGTTTGCAGGTTTGCAGGTTTGCAGGTTTGCACAGCAGTAGACCTAGAACGGGCCCGCGCCCTCGCCCGCCGTGTGTTTTCAAAATAAAAATAATCAAGGACTGATCCGTGAATCTAACCTATCAGGGGCACAGCGTCGGACGTCTGGGTTATCACGTGCGCCACCAGCAGGGAGAACACAGTCTGTGACAACAGGATAGTCACACCTGCAACAGATAGTGCGTCACGCGAGGCGTCTGACCTGTGACCTGTGCCGCGAACCGCGAAGGCTATCATTATTTTTTTTAATCAATTTTTAATTTTTTTTTTTAAATATAGCCCAACTGCCGTTCTGTCGAGCTGCCGAACTGTCGAACTGCCGTCCCTTCTATCCAAGTATCCGATCCGGCTCGTCCCGATACGACGCCAATTCAAAGAGGAAATGTTTACGGCGACTTACGACACCGCCCTCGTTCGCCCATCAAAAAATTTATCAATCAATAAATCAATCATAGTAAGAATCGATTTTTGGATTTTCCTCTTCGACAGCACTTCGCCCGCCACCACCGACTGCCTTAAACATTTCTTCTTTGATCGCATCGAAACAAATAAAACTAATCAAAGCGATCGGCTTAAAACAGACGCGCGCGTACACAACAATCACATATACACAATGATACACATATTTCATCAGGCAGCACTGAGGATGTAGCCAGCACAGGCAGGTCAGACAAAGAACGGTTGGTACCTAACAAAGGAATGGCGTCAGATACTTGGGGCAAGGTTTCTGCCACGAGGTTCAGGAACACAGTCAACGAGAGCAAGATGGTCACTCCTGCAACAGAACACAGCTTGAATTGGGCAACGGACGGTGGCGTACCAGGAAATAATCAAATCGTCATCGGGGGTGCGATAAAAACAAATGTCATATGACCAGTGGTAGTGGTGGAGCGCTCAATTTGGTGGTTTGATATTTTGGTGGTTTGGTTTATTCCAATCCGACGAGGCGCCTCAGTCTACTTACCTCAGGCGCTTTATAGGCTATTGCTAGGAAAAAAGGGGCGGCGTGCGGAAGGGGTCTTGGTGGTGTGGTGTGAGGACTGCATGCTGGCACGGGCACAAACGCCGAAGGCCCTCCAAGTATCAACAGGCAGTCCGGCAAGGGACACAGGGCGTTAAAACACACGATGCTCCCAGGAGGCCTAGCATACCTATCAACGGAACTGCATCGGACGTGGTTGGTATCTTTTCAGCTACTAGGTTGAGAAATACAGTCAATGAAAGAAGTATGGTGACACCTGAAATGAATATTTCGAATTTTGAACGTGTTTGTGTCCGTCCAGGGTCATCGAGTGGCCAATATATACGAAGTTGTAAATCTCGCTATAGCTGACGGATTAATATAAGATTATATTATATGTTTAGAGAATCAGTGTTGATGTGTCGAGCCGTGACATGATGTAGTGCTGATATGGAGCGTAGCCGTCAACGGTCCGTGTAAATGCAGTTTATACTCTGTAGCCATGTAAATAACAAGAGATGACACTGCGCGATGCGAGTGATCTAGCATGGCCAGTGTTGTCAAGCGGCACCCACACAACACAGGAGTGCAAACACACACAGTGCGACATAGAACAAGGGTCAGTACCTAAAGTGAGCTTCTCGCCAGAATCCGGTGGCAACGTGAAGCCCAGTAGCGCCATGGAGGAGATGAGCACGCAAGGAACTATAAGGTTGAAGAAGTAGTACAGCGTTCGCCTTCGGATCTTAATCGTGAACGTCACATCTACATACGGTTCGGGGCAACATGCGTAGACGATGGTGTTCTTCTTGCCAGGCATCCCTACAACAGCATTTACACATCTATCGATTTCATAAGCAAATACAGAACCCACCTATCAAGTACCATTCTCCGTTTGTTATGAAGTCTGATAAATCACCACCCGATTCGGAATTGAGCACCAGGTCGAGCTGCAGAAAACTCATACATGTAACGCGCGCCAGATCAGCTCTTGTGAATCTAGCGAGTGCTACATTTCATTTACAAATGCACGGTCACACATCTTATAATGCATGGTTGTTTAGCGGGTGGGCTCTCTACGGGCTTTCTTGACCTAAGGGTAGTGTGACGGGCGATTGGTTCTCTTCGTCAACAACATCTTCTTCAAGATGGAACGTGTTCGAATCGTTATTATGGGTATTTGGGACTAAGTATCTGGTCTCTTTCAGCCTTATTCGATAAGAAGTATTGTGGATGCAGTGGAAAGAAAACATGCTAAAGGCTAAAGGCTACCGAGCTAATATTAACAACAGTACGGTTTAAGGCGATGGCCACGTGCGAGCGACATCTTTATTACTTATCGACGTGACACTCGGGCATGCGTGCGTTCGGGCAAATGGGGATGTTTGATGTATGAGTCGAGTCATGTACGGGTATTCGCACACAAGTAAAGCTAAAACTTGGCTCACCGGAGGATGATATCAAACGTGTCTAACGATACGAGGTCACGGGAGGTGCAGAACTGCTGCGTGCCGTTTGTGCGGGTACTCCGATAACGGGAATATTACTTGCAAGCTACAATGAACAAGGGAAATCTACATCTACTACATCTACAGGCATTGCCACATGAAAACTGCCGACACTAAAGACCAGGCAAGACACTTACTACTTCAAAGTGGACGGATCGACATAATAGAATTCCATTGCTCGTAAATGTGTCAGACAGTTTAAAGTGAAATTGCTATAGATACTAGGATACTAACTAGTAATCCACGAAAAGGGAAACGTACCATTTATTCTATGCTACGCCGATGGCGAATTTTCTACTTTTCAATCTCATTTCGTTTTCACTGACATATAGATATACAATATTGAAATCAAATACGGCGCACAGTCAAACCGAAATGAAATGAAGTGTTCGAAAATATAAACGAATGACGTGCCGACAAGTCGACATAAAATCAAAGCAGCATGCTTTACACTTTACACATAGATGTAAGATAAGAACCCCGCTTTCGGGGGATGTGGGTGGACGCGTTGTAAAATCTAGCATTCATGTTCGATAAACATGCATCATCGGACCATGCGTTAAAAGGGATGTTATATTATCAAAAAGTGAAAACTTCGGATACCTATAATACTCTTCTATATGTATAACACGTTAATTATCCGCTCACCGTACTGTAACATAAATGGCTTTAAATAAGGTGCACACTCGAAATGTTTCTCCTGAACTGGATCCGCTTCCAAAGCCACATCGATTTTACTGACTACTGCATCAGGACTATTAAAAATATATTTAAAAACGAACACAAGATGCATCCTAAAATCAACCACTCCTCACAAATAAAATGCTGAACAATAGATATAATCCCATATGCATAATCGGTACTCCTCTCCTTCGTACAATAATAATACCACAGAAGCGCTGAAGTTGAAACAAGAAATGTAAGAGGCGAATTACATTTAACTAAATATGCACAAAACATTTACAACGCATGTTGCATGTAAGCTAGTCTAAAATTGTAAGGAATTTAATCCAAGTAATTCACACAAATTACTGAACTTTATTGTTGCGTTTTTGATTAGTTGTATTTAACGTTATTAGAGTTATTTTGTCTTGTCCCCTTAAATTTACTGACGATTTACTATTCATCAAGCTAATGGTTGAAAAGGGTCATTTGTGTAACTTGTGATAAAGTATTGAATTTTGTTAGTGGAACTCGTCGGGCAAACAATTATTTGTTCTGTAATGACAGCATCAATATTGGTGATGTTTTGTGTAAATTGTGCTTCGCGTCGTACTTTTCTTGTTCCTTTTTAATATAAATATAATAAAACATATTTTAGAGTATAGTCGATACGCACGGCAGTGCGACAGTTTATTTAAGGTGATGACGTGAAAAGATAGTTGATTTTTGCACCATGTTTGCACATCCCTGCCATAAGCAACTAGTGTCAGTGCCTCTGCTAGAAACTTTACGGCGAACTCATGGAACGAAGGAGAGGGCTCGTAAAAGAGTGGGAGCCCAGTGGTCGCCTCGGGATTAAATGGACGGTTAAAACTCAGGTCACGGATTATGTAAAGTCAATAGCAGAGACTCTGATTGCAAATGTGCTCCATGCAAAATAGTTAATCTAACGATACAGTCACATGGTTCCCAGTGAGGGCCGTCGATGATTGATTGGCGTTTTGGCGTTTTGGCGTTTTGGCGTTTCTACTATGTTGCCGCTGGAGACTGTTAGGTATAAAAACGAATAAAACGCGCGACGTGTCTCGCGATCCGCGTACCTACTACTCTAACATGAACACGACCACCCCAGCAGCTAGACGTGCACTAGGTCTAAAAGGGCATAAAGAGCGAGCGACCAGCCGTCGCGGCAACGGACTGGTGATTCGAAGAATGCGAAAATGTTGTGACTACGACGGCCGGTGAGCCAGGCCAGCAGGCAGGCCAAACGGCAACGCGGGTGTAACGGTGCAGTGTGGGAAGTGTGAGGCGTGTGATGTGGTAGCAACAAAAAAACATGTAACATTACAGCAATACCTGGTTGCCGTCATAGGTCCAGCTACCAAACTTCATGTCACAGTGTTGGTCATCAAAGGGGAACCACGTAATGTCTATCTTGCATGTGCTCTTGAAGATACCCGGAGGGACGTACAAGCAGCTGCCGTTATGTTTGACCACAACGTTTGTTTGGAAAGTCCCGTCGAAACCCTCATCAGCACTTCATAACAACATAAAACGTTAACATCGCCGCTGTAAACTTAGTCATGCTGGTCGCATCGTCAGAGACCGTGAGACCACCGTCACCAGACCGATAGATAGACCGACAGACCAACAGACCGACACATTGCCGGCGTCAGCGTCGGGAAGATAGATATTGCGCGTCGTTCTACATGCAACAACATCCAGTGCTGCCACCAGGACTCTTAGTAGTCTGGCGTGACACAACAACAACAGCAACTCCGACATCTTAGCTACTCGCGGTTGCGGCGGCCAAGCTAGCCATCTCCGTTACTGTCTCGAGATTCATCTCACCGGCGAGCCGGAATCAGTTATCATCAGTCCTTTATCTTTATGCATTTACCCTTCAGGTTTTATGTTGGCCCTATGGCCTTTAGCTGTTGCTTTAGTTAATTATGTATTTTAAGTAGTAGGATTAATGAATCGCGTTCTTAATTACTTTCTTATTTAACTACTCTTCCCATCGTTTAATGAAGGTTTTAGCAGTTTATACTGAGTGCTGTTAGAGAGAGAGTTTTCAGGGACGTTCCGGCCCAGCAGGAGTCGAAGTCTCAAGCTGCTACCGTCCGCAGAAAAACAGAACAAGACTTTAGTACACATGCAGTATGCCTCGTACAGTCGTAACATAAAGAATTAAAGTGATGGTGATTTAAGCTAGAGTGCAGCTGAGGTATCAACCTGTCGTTCGACTCCAGAGGGTCGGAAGTAGCTGTGGCCTACAGCAACGGCTAGCTGTCTGTGTACTTCCCGCCCAATTTTCACCGTTCGCAACACACACTCTGACGAGGCATTCTATCATTCTGCCGTTTGCATCTGCATGCTCTTCAAGCGACTTTTTTTTTTCAGTTTTTGTTTTTTCTTTTTTTTTTCCTCCCCAATTCCCCAATCTGTCGCTAGTTTTAGCCCAAAAACTACACAACAACAAAACCTCAACAGACCAGAGCAGGCAGAGCAACTTTCATTTGAAAACTGAACCATTGAAAAAAATAATGGTTACGATAGCAGCTCGCATGAATAAAGATAGTCCTTTCCTACATTACTACGTCATTCTAAAAAGAAAGAAATAACCAACATCTACACTTAACAAAAACACAAATTGATATTATTAACGAGCAATGTAGAGAAGGACGATCCCTGTTAATGATATATCGACTACTCTACACTCGCTACAACTATCGATGCCAACAATTTTTAAACGTTTCAAAACTCACTGCCTTACTGACCATGCAAAATTTTGATGTGATGTGATTTTAACATGTTTGAAAATTAAAAACACTAAAAAGCACACACGTTTTGGAATCGAAAACGCCATTCGAAACATGCCACTAAACTTGTTACCTGTTATACATAAGAACATCAGGCTTCCACAGCTTGTTTGGAGTAATCCTCAAGTCTTTGACCCCGCCATATTCCGATTCGTTCCATTTGAGATTATAGTCGTTCCACTCCTGGATAAGAACCAACAAATGGAATGCGTTATTATTTGTTTTAATAAGCCAAAGAGAAATGCGAATTTATGGATAATTACAGTTACGTTCTAGACACGTACGGGTAGCTTTGAGCTAAAGATATTGACGTAAATTTCAAATCGACTCAAAGCTACCTGCTCCCCATTTATCAAACACATATACACGACATTTAGTGCAAACTTTCGCAAGTGTCGGAAGCTTTGCTTGCAAATGCGTTACAAGGCCCAAAGCTTCATGCTGGTGTAGGCAAAGTATTTGACGTGTTGTCTAGCTTTTGTTTTCCTTTCTTCTTTCTTTTTATTGACAGATTTGTGTATTTTAAAACAAAAACTAGACTAACGGTTTGGTTGACAAATGTAGAGCAACAAGCATCACGAAGTGATTTGACAACATGCACGGGAGGATCGTTTTAGTATCTTGATTTTAACGGTTTAATGGTTTAGTGTATAATTTTACAGAAATGTTTCAGTTTATTGTAACCAAAGGTGTTTAGTTTTCTGCAGATCGTCAAAACTAAATCAAAAATTCGCCCGAATATCTTCTGAATGCGGAGGAAGTGATGGTTGCTTATCGTGAAAGATTAAAGAATGGATAACGTCAGTGAATTGTGAAGGAGAGAAAGGATAGCGCCCCAGAAGAATCGAATAAGTAAAACTAAATCTAAATAAATGCCTGAAACTAATGAAATATTTATTACCCAAAGCTGCTATAAATAAATAAAAGAAACCGCACCTAGAGCTAATAATCGATAAGTTGGTTAGTTAAAAAGCATAGTTATATTATGTAGTTTAAAATATGTCACACACACGGCAGTAGACCATAGTAACATACGAACTCTGTTGAATGGACTCAATCAATAATAATAAACGGTTTTCATTTTGAGAATTGTACTCGTATGTACAGCATCATCAGGATCGCATGTCGACACCGCGTCACTTTCTGGAGTGAATGTCGCTAGTTACAGGTCTCGGCTACGGCTACGACTACGCTACCGCTACGGCCGAAGCTGTCTTTGCTGGTATCGTTTCGTGGTATGTATGTACGTCGGCCGTTGAGCTGTTACAAAGCTTCGACAGCAACGGCCACAGGCAATGGTAATAATAAGGGACTGGAGTCCAATTCCGGACGCAACCGTGACACTCAAGACACAGGTTCTGGGCAATACTGGTTGGACTGGTACTTAACTTTACTGGACCGGGCAATGCTGCAACAACTAATTCAACTTTACAGGAGGCATACTGGCATACGCAGCTAGAAGGACCAATAGGACCGGCGTGAGACACAGCAATACAATAATAATTACTATAGCTCGATATATACAAAGAGGAGAGCACACCATCATTCGGGTGGGTTCGACCAGCTAGAAGGAATGAAAGAAGATTGAAAACAGACTGAACATAACCAACCAACTGCCGTGTGTGTATATATGTTTAGTTATTTAATTGGTTTTCACTTACCAAAGAAAGCCAAATATTTGTTATTAGGAGTTGATTCTTCTCGTCCTATGGTAAAACAATAAAAGGGAAACATCGGTAGTTAGTCACATAACAAGGCATGCATCGCACGCACCGATCTTGTCTCGTAGCATTTTCTGCAAGAGTAATAGTAGTATTTTTTTCAAACACTAGAGACTCGACCAGCAGTGCTCGGAAATGTTAATAGTCTTTCGGAGATTACTGACGAATATAGGTGCCCCCATAACCGAAAGCTTTTAACATCGCCGTCGTGGGAGCTATATACGTCCATAGCCACATAGCCCAGAAACGAACACTAGTCTAAACAGCTAGTGTTCGCTCTGCTGTAACATTGCGAGAGGCCGGCTGGACCACATGGCACTTACCAAATTCAACCACGCGTTTGTCGTGAGAATCTGATTCTTTTCGTCCTACACAGGGGAAAACAATAATAAAACAAAAAGGCAGTATCTTATATTCTACCCTCTCTGGTGGAATATTTTACGTGTTACGTCTACTATTAGAAATTATTAATCGGTTATCGTCAACAACGGCAAGAGATAGAAATATCGACCGATATTCATATTTACATCCGAACAGGTCCTATCGCACCCATCCGGGCCCGACATACGTCGATAAGACAGCATTCACCCCAAACAAGGGAGAAACCATCAACAATACCTCATGTCGTCTTATCAACTAATTGTGTCGCCCTTCCTTTATTTCCTGTCTCTTTACATTTACTTTCTCATATCCGATTCTTAAATTATCGCTATTGCAAAAAAAAACTTCCAAATATACTGACCACATCAATGATTTGCTGCAAAGTTAGGCCGAACTTGACTTCAAGAGGTTCTGACTCGTTGGCTACGGGTCTCTCCAAGACGTTATAAGGTCCCAACAAGTTGTTTAGTAGCCGCTTTTCGTGCGGCCCTTGTTGCGAACCTGCAAAGCAATCATTTCAAATACGTTTTCTTAATACGATGATAAAATCGATAACCAGTAAATTCCCTCCTAATTAAACGAAACAACGAATCATATAGAAACCTAGTCACGAAAAGCAACATTACATTACTCGAAATAGAAGCACATCGTTAATCATAAATAATTACTAGACTTGACTCGGGTTACAGGAAAGCACCGAAAACTCAACTCTAATTTAATTTATTTACGGCACATAAAGTTGAAGATCGAAAACTTTCTCAATAGTAAGTGAACTTTAATAAAACCAACATCGAAAGAACAATATTTAAACTGTGACTTTCTCATTCTATCCCATCACGTCAACCCTAATTAACTCCCTATAGCACTCCAACTTTAAGCTTTCTTAAAACATAATCGCGACGTTGACGAATTCATCAATAAACTTTTTAAACGTCAACTTTTAACTTTTTTGTACTTCACAAGTGACTGATGTTAATATACGGTATGACCTACATGAACGGGGATTGTGGGATTATATCGATCTGAAAACGTTGAAAGTGATTTAAACGTTACGTGACACATGCCAATCTTCTTCTATTTTAATGCTTTGCCTGGCTCCGATTCATTATTTTTCATAAAAAGAAGAATGAAACTTTTTCTGAAGCAGACCAAATAAGTTGTATTCTATCTATGAATGAAGAGGGGGAGTGCCATCTATCACATCACACCGATAGTGGAATGTATTTGAAGGGTTCGTTCATAACACGCAAGTATGAAAATGAGAATGGATAAGTTAGTTGTATGTTATGTTATGTTATGTTATGTTATGTTGTGTTATATTATTTGAATTGAATAATAAAACGGTTGGTTTTGGTTAATGTTTACCTGGAGGCATGATGAAGAGCAGGAAGGCTGTGGCCAGCAGCGCCAGCGCTTGCTCGCTCCGGACCATCCTAACTCGATGCAGGGCTGCTCATGTCTTCGGCGACAATCCTCCGGACTTGGCCGTCATGCCCCGGAGTGTCGGCGTCCGGGCGTCCTGAAGACACACGCCCACCGTCCCACCAGCGACCACCACTACTAGCTGAGCTCGGCGGGCGTAACTCGCGGAACCACACTGGCCATTTCAGAGGACCAAGACGAGGCAATGCACACCAGCTGCAACACCTCGCCAACACTCGAGATACGGACTCCGGTCGGTGCTCTGACCGTGCTCAGCAGGTCGACTCCGCATCGGAGGCGGATCGATACCGGAGAGATGCGCGCGACTCTCCCGGGTATGCCGATTCGGGCTGCCGCCGCCAGCACACGCCGCCGCCGCCGCACACAGACGGCACACTGCCTACGGCCACGAGTGCGGAACCAACCGCCCTGAAACTTCGTCCTAACCAACTCGACGATTCTTCAAAAAATCAAACGCGAACACAAAGGATACAAACTCCCACATTCAAATTTACCAACGAGAATTAATAACCCTCTTTTGCCCCTTCGCGCGAAGACCCCCAACTCTAAATATTGCATTCCGAGCAGCGCGCCACCACCACCTAACTCCTATATCTCACATCTAAGCTAACCAATATATTACAAACAACGCATTATTCTTTCACCAACCAAATCCACTCAACTACAACTCCTATATTTATGTTATATAACTACCTATACCGAAATATTGCATTCCTTACAATACGCTCCAAACCCAAACTTAATATATGGTGCACAACCAACTTTCTTATTTCTCTTTAATATAATTTACAACGAACTCGGTTTTCGTCTTATATATTGCAAAATTGTAGTAATCACTAAAAAGCAAACTTTCTAACATGTGTACGTATCTGGAATAAAAATGTACAACTACAACAATTTTTAGTAATAGTACTAAAATAATATTGCAATTAACACACGAAAGTATTTCTCACGTTTTTACTCCTTTATTGTAACAGTATATCAATAAAATGCCAATACATACAAACTTTGCAAATAAAATGCTGAACTTTATCGGACACACCCACCAAACTAATCAAGTAGAAATTTAACACAACCTGCATAAAACTAATAATCGACGTAAAAGATATCTCTCAGTTTATTTCATTATAAAACCTTCACTTATTTTTTATTTAACAAAATAATATATAAAAACAAAAAGAAAACAAATTCATTATTTCAAAATCGTGCTATATTCATTTTATATTACCAGTTACTTACTTACTACATTTTTACAACATAAAAAATAATAAATTATTAAAACAATACATTTGTATTGATATTTTTTTAAACAACACAGTGCTTTTATCTATAATAAAAATTGTTACTTAAAGACAAATAAAATTGCAAAAATATTTTAGAATTTTACCAAGCGTTTTGTAAAACAATAAAAAGTCTGTTTCATTGTCAATTTTGGAATATTAATTGTAAAAATATGATACGATGAATTATCTAAAAAACATAATATTGCATAATATTTATCCCTGCGCATCCACCAGAAATACACATTTGTAAATGTAAAATAAACTGAATAGAAATGGTTATTGCTTTAAAACGTATTTCAAAAGTTTAATTTACTATGTTTTTTTATTATAGAATATACATATACATAATTATTATTAATCACGCATAATTTTTAAATATAATCCTTTGCATCCGCCAATTTTTAATTTCCTTTTGCAATTTTGTTAAAATATTGGGAACAATAATTGAGTGAATTCAAAAATTTGTATCACATCAACATAGTTTTCACAAAATTTACTATAACGCTTTCATTTACAAAGGATATTTTTTGAATTTTTTTTTTTGAGTAACAGTTATGAGTACCAGCAGTGGCGTAGCGAGGAGGGTTTTGGGGGTCAAACCGCCCTCTTCCTCTTTAAAACAAAATCAGGCAAAATTATTTTATAGTGGTAATAAAACTAAATTAAACCAAATTAAACATTCGAATTTTGTATACAATTGTCACAAATTTAGAAAATTCACAAATTTTTACTCTTTTATTTTGTAAAATGCGGAAAAATTGTACCTCAAACGTTATAATGTTTTTATGCATACACATGTAAATTGTTCCGAAAAACAATTGACATTTTCAAAACTCTTGATCGTTTAGAAGTTATGTTGAATTAATATTTTGTATAATTTTTAATTTATCAGTAATTTTGTCGATAACTATTTAACGTAAGACAATTATCATTTTTTATATGATAAAAAATTAAATATGTTTTCCAACGCTACCAAACAAACCTCTCTGCTCAAAATTTCGACAAAATCGAAAAAATTAAAAACTTGAAGGAATTGAATTCTTTGAGGGTTTAAGAGACTTAGAAAAGTACAAAAAAGTTGCAAAAATGCAAGAAATAATTTTATGAAAAATATTGTGTAAATCTGTATGAATATATTGAATTAAAACATTGAAACCGTCGGCGGCGTGGTGGTTTAAGGTCCGTCTAAGGTCCATAAGGTCCCTCTTTCCGGCAGGTAGATCCGGATTTGATCCCCGGATAATCGGCAATTTTTGATTCAAATTCAAACACTGACTCAAATAAGCAATAAAAGATGGCGGGCGCATAAAAGCGCAAACTTTAAAACATGTGCACATATTCTAATAAGTATAATAAGAATGAAAGAGAGCGCATAAGAGCAAATAAGAAAGTAAAGCATAATAAGGAAGAGAAAGAGCATAAGAACAAATTGTGAACAAAGCATAAGTAAAGCAAAGCGCATAAAAAAGCACAAGAGCTTTTTTCTATTTCGGTGGCTCATAAAATGCTCTTTGTGACACGGTTTCTAGTAACATTTTATGCTACATTTTTATCATACTGAGACTGAATGCAATTTGAGCTATTTTCAACCAATTTGGGTCCCCCACCCGTCAAATGACAAAAATTTTAACTGTCAAATAAAATAATAAATTTAATTTAAAAATTGCTTAATAAAAAAATTAGATAAAAAACACGGGTGAAGTCACATTGTGAAGTCGAATGAGTGCCTGAAATTTTTTACATAGGTAAACCCCCTACACTCTGTCTCTGGCTGCGCCACTGATTAGCAGTATATTATAAAACATATTTTCCTTCATTTCTGATGCTAAAATAATAAAAAAATAAGCTTTTCGAGGCATGCATGAACTTTGACAAAAACTGTTGTGGAATACAAAGCTGTACAAAAATATGTGCATGTGGGTTGTGCCGGGTAAGTAAGCTTTATCACGCAGTCTGCAACACTAAGATATTTTCTAAAAATATTTTCTATGTATGAAAATAAGTCGCCCTTGATCAAGAAAGTTCAGTGAGGGAGTTATAAAAAGTATTTGGCGTTGGGTTAAAAATGTGCTCAAATTTAAATATGAATTTTCTTTGGTATAAATTTTTAATTTGTTGAAGCGTTTTATGGTAAGCTCGTTAAATTTGTAGCGTCAAATTTTAAAATGATGAATAAATTAAGGCTCGTGCTTTTAATATAAACAAATTTAAGCGTTATTAATGCCCTAATTATTTGATGTTTGCTTCCACCTGCAACGGTTTAACTAGATGTCACTCAAGCTATCTCACTTTTACGCTATCAATCTACATCTTCCCTAAGGGCGAATTATCGTAAACTCAATTAAAATTTTAGGCAAACCTTTTGTGAAGAATATGAAAATGTAGTTTAATTTTAACTTGAAAAGAAACTTTTCTAAAATTCAGCCTTTTTAATTGGGTATAATGGTATTTAAGATGTTCCTCATTGAAAATATTTTGCGATACAAAATTCAGAATTCACTTTTCGAGATAAGTTAATTTCAAATTAAATTTACAACTTCTGCCTTAGTTTCTAAAAAGTTACTTAAAATTGTTTCGAAAAAACTAATTTTCTACTATGAGGTAAAAGAATCCACCTTTGCTTGAATTTAAATAATTTCCATACCTATTCAAGAAGTAAACTTTTAGTCTAGAGTTTTGGCAAAGTTTTCGCAATTTTAAATACCCTCGACCGGCATTTTTCGTACTTCAAGCATAATTTCTTGTACAAAAAGGAAACAAAAACCAATTTTTACTATATCAGCTCTAAGCTAAAATATTTGACCTAAATTTGTATTTGCTCTTCTTGGAGCACTTTGTGTTTGTGATAATTAATTTATAAAAGCGTCTTCAGTGTTATAGTGTTTGATTTGTTTTCAGTATCGGTAGCGTCTTAACATTTTTGTTTTGTTTTCCTACGGCATGAAACATCTACAGAGGAAGCATCCCTGACCTATATATTAAGAGATTTATCCTCAAGTAACCTCGAGACCTGAAGTATTTCATTTAAATATTTTCAAACCTAAACAAATATTTAGGTTGGATATAAAATGCAAATATCTATTTAGACATCTAAATAAATAATCTTTACAAATGTAAAGATGTTACTTTTGGTGCGTTTGTTAAGCGAAACAAATTGACATTGCTGAAGATAGTGCGATTTTGGCTAACAAGCAAAGGTCATTAGTGATTTCGCTTGATTTCCCTACGAAGCAATGCAAACCTCAACACCGGCCAAGAAACGGTTTCTTGTTCAAGATTCTTAATTAATTGGGAGACGAGGGATATGTGGATTCCCTTTAGAGACACTAACAAATTTTACATAGTATGGCTCATTTAATTTAATTCCTAACTAAGACAACGTTTCTAAATTGAGTCGAGATGGACACAGCGCATCCAGCTTAAACGTTTCCCTCTAGTAGCTCCCTTGCTCCTAGTGGCCCACTTTCTTGCTCCAGATAGCTCCTCGTTCATCTATTCTGTATGACATGCTCACTCTCTATTCCCTTGTCTCTGTCACCACACACAATTCAATCGATGATTTTGCACGGTCACATTACTTTTACTTTCTCTCGTTTTATTGTTACAATTGATACTCTCATTCCATACGGTGTTAGAATCAAACCAAATATCATTTCGACTCTTTGTTGAGCTCATAACATTATTACAACAAATAATTTTTACGCTCACGAATTTCAGCGGCAAGAATAATTGAGAATAATGTAGAAATCAGAGGAATCATGAAATTAAAAATATCAAGCAAAAGAATGTTATTAATCGACTGTACAAAAATATTTTACACGAGGATTTCATAAAATGATTATTTACTTTTTTTTATTGTTTCCTTGAAGCACAAATGACGACTTGCTTTTGCCTAAATAAGAACCATTTTTTCACACAAAAACAACTTAATTAACTCGCAAAAATTAAAGAATTTTTGTTTACAAAGTACGGTATTGTGTTCCAAAGCTCACATTAACAACTTTATTAAGAAATAATGTTTTTAATAATGCCTCTAAGGAGATGAACCAAAGGCAGAATACTATCCCATTATAATTTACTCCAATATTGACATTTTCAAAGTCTTCAACTGAATCTCCTAGGAATTTATTTTACTACTATGCAATTAACGTTTTTTTTTAACATCTAACTATTTACTTGAAACCACCAACTCAACCATGGTAGTCAACAACAGAACATTCAGTTTGTTCCTCACTCGACTGACTTCGCTCGAATTATATGTTTGATTGCACTTGTACTCAATTCCAACTAATACTATCATACCAATATCTTTGATAACTAACACGACTGTATACAACATTTAACCGGAGTACTGTAATAAGGAATGCATTATTAAACGCCAAGGTGATTTATATCTCAATAGTCTGCTTATGTTACATTGCAAGTGCAAATTAATAATAAAAACACTTTCAAGGTGAGTGGAAACTGACATCCACTTAATTAAGTTGATGGAACGGTACACAACACAAATAAAATATTGTAACAAAGTCGAAGTTAGTTTGTGTTTTTTCAGATATTGACAAATCTATAATTCACCCAATTATCTTATCGCCGTTTGTTTTTAAGACAGCGAAAATTGGGAGAAATAACAAAAAGCCAGTTGCATCACCACAACTTAGCCATCTCATTACCTTTTTTCTGTAGGGAAATGTTGAAATAAATTTTTAATAAAGTGTGAATTTATAAGGGTGCGGTTATGAATACCCGGCGCCTCCACCAAATTTGCGCCATGGCTTAATCACAGAAAGGTGACGTAATAAAATGGAAATCACTGAAAGGAGTCAGTTTTATTGGAATGGCGGATTTTTATAGTATATAGTCGCAGATCTAGGTTTAGACCGTCTAATCCAGTGTCAGCAGTTCGGTATCTTTTCCAATCAGCGTCGAAATTTTATGATTGTTAAAAATTGCTTTGTCCATTATAACGTCTTTCATTTGTAGCAGTCTGAGCAAAGCTTTTAAAAACGATTTATAGCCTTCAGCAACCTTAATTAACTCGCATAGGTCCAATCGCCGATACGCTCGATTTAATCTTATTGGAAAAAACTAATTTTGGAAACAGACACGTTCCCTTTTTAATGATAAAGATATAACGCTACTGAATTCCAGCCACAATAAACCACAACAAACGTGCACATCATACACAACTCTACCACAAAGGCTTAACATGAAAACAATATAATTGTTTCCAGGAATCTCCAATAATACATTTCTGAAAATTGTATCGATCATGATTACGGGAAAACGTTCTTATCTTTGATTCCACACAATTGCCTGTTTTTGCAACTTTTATCCATCCTTTTCTGTCCGCAGTATTAAATAAACTATGAAGACAGGTGAAAGTTTTACTTTCAAAATAAAATTGAAAGTAATAAATGTGGCTTGTTTGCTAGACTCATTTCAAATCAACGTATTTACATTTGCAACCAGAAATTTTACTATTGTCTCACCTCCAGATTTTACGGCAAATTTTATTGGAGAAAAGATTTACTCCTGCAGTAAAAGTTCACGTGACGCCACCTAGTAGTTACCAGGCGAGCCAATTCAGAACGATACAAATGAGGATTTCAATAAAACCAGTTTTATAAAAAAATTTATTTAAAAAATTACACCGATACTCTGTATAGTTCTATTTATAATATAGATAAAAAAACATATTACAACCTTGTGTTGGACGGATTTATGATGTACAAGCACAAAAAAAATTTGAACACCTCATTACAAAAAATATTGCTAAAATATGATTTTTGATTACAGGTACGTTTTACATGATGCAATCCTGTTAATAAGGCACAAGTTCAGATCTCAAGCATCTAAATCAGAATTACATAAAATATGATGGCCTTTTAGAGACGAATTAAACAAAATAAAAACATAACAAAAAATTGGACTTTCATGTTGTTAGTAGAGAATGAAGCAGACATGCTATAACGATTGTTATTGCAAATGGTTTTACATCTTCACAAGCACTTCTGTAATATGCTAGTGGACCTGTAAAATAATTCATGTAAGCATGCAAGACTAAGCAAAGCCGTCCAAGTGAACGAATCAATTATTGTTATTGTTATTGAACCCACCCATTCGGAATTTAACTTCAGGAGAACTCATACGGCCGTCGCCACCATTTGAGTATGCGAGAACACGCATTCTGTAGGATTTACCAGGCTGTAAATTACTAACATAGGCTTCTAATTTACCACCGAATGGTTTTATAGTGTCATTCGCTGTACTTATGTCTTGATCGAATTCCCATACACGAATCTAGAAAGACTTGTGAGCGAAACTAACAAAACACTACCAACGTACCTTGTAGCCTTTGAGCGGTTCTTCCTCCAAAGATGGTTGGACATACCGCCATACCACTTTGATAGTCGATGGATTGATACCAAAGACGTGAACCGATGATGGTGGTTTTTGTGGTGCTTTTCGGAATGTACGTTCTAGACAAATAAATTAGTATAAAATCACAATAGCACGAAAAAATAATTACCGATAAAACGTTCACTTTCTGGTCCTTCACCAGCCGAGTTGTATGCCATAACTTTGACAAAGTAGTACGTGTCTGGTTGTAAACCAACGATAAGAGCCCAAGGCCTTGTCGTACGTGACAAATAATAAACACTTTCCTCCTCTTTGGTGCCTTTTTTCCAGTACTTGATCTATAAATTTGCCACAAACCATCACAATATACCTATTCCATTCTAACAATTACTTACACGATGTCCGATAAGCTTGCCCCTGACTTTTTCTCTTGTCTGGTCAATTGGTACCCAACTCACATTAAGTGCCGTTGAGTTAAACGATCTTGCAACAACCAATTGTGGCGCAACTTGAGGCATATCTTCGGCCGAGTATATGACATGCTCAGGACTGATTGGTCCAGGACCTATTTGATTAATAGCTTGCACTTTAACTATATATTCAGTGTAGTAATACTGTGGTGGGATGTGCACTACTGCCATTCCAGTATTTCCAAACTCCTTTAATTCCTGAGTCTGGAATTCGACTTCTTGATCCTTACGTTTCCAGAATATCCTATAGTAAATGCCTGGACCATTCTGTTCGTCTTGTCTGAGTGGCGACCACGTAATTGTCAAATCGCCAATCTTGCCACCGCCACCTCCAATGTTATATGGCGAGATATATGGCCTGTCTGGTGGTGTTGAATGACGTGGACTTGGAGCCGATGGTGGACCCATCCCCCTAGAATTCCAAGCAGCTATACGAAATTCGTAAGTCGACCAAGGAGTCAAAGCATTTTCAATGATAGCTTCCTTCTGGCCAGTATATCTGTCTATTTCTCGAACATCAACAATGTAACTGATATTGATCCAAGTCTGGTTCCAGTTTGTACGACCACTAATGGTGTAACCCCGGATTTGGGAACCATGAGTCGCACCATCGGTCCATTGTAACGTAAACGAACTCTTTTGAATAGAAACTGTAACGCCACCTGGCGGACCAGGAGGACCCTCCACTACCACCACCGACCTAGATGAGATTTTACCAACTGTAGATTTTATAGTGCATTCGTATTCTCCAGCGTCAGTAAATGTGGCATTTGTTACTGATAGAAAACCACCATCGATTCGCTAAATTCCATAATTGAGTAACACACTACTAATGTGGAAATCACTTACCAAACGATAATTCATATTTTTTATGTCTATATCACGGATTTTAATTCCATTATGACTCCAAACATACGCAATATCTAACATTTCTTCAGTCTCAGCAAGACATCGTAAATCAAAATAACGACCGACTGTCGTTACAATTTTCGGAGTTAAACTTTCAATCAAACGTGGCCCCCCTAAACCACGTGTATTATAATACCATACGATCAAAAAAAAAAAAAAATTAGAGTAGGCGGTGATTAAAGTTCTTCAGATGGCAATCCTGATTTTTGACATCAAATGTCAGCGGAAACTTTGACAAGTTTGCGTTTTATTCCTTTTGAGTGAAATAATGTTCACTTTGGAGCAGAAATTTTTTATTGCTGTACAAGAGGAAAACGGTGGATGGTCATTTTCACTTTTAGTTTGTGTGGAAAATTTCCAGCCCAGATTCCCAGCCAATCTGTTGCCAACTGGAGAATTTAATCGACGCCTACTCTAATTTATTTTTTATTTGATCGCACGGTGCTACTATTATTACCACAAGAAACTTACGTAAAACGATCAAACGTCCTTTCGATTCGTCGCTTCCAAATTGATTTCTTGCACGGCAACTGTACAAGCCCTCATCATCACGAGATACCGTATTGATAACAAAATTACCGTTTTCTAAAATTCTTCGATGTCCACCCGAATCTAAAGATTACTTGTCATTCGTTTTTCAAAAGGTCGCCACTTGGTCACTTACGTATAACATTCCCGTTTTTCTTCCATACGTATTCAGGCTTTGGAGCTGCCTCTGGATTACATTTTATTGTCACACTTCCCCCCTCAGCTGCATAAGTTTCAGCCTCCAAAGGATGTTTTTTAAAAGTAGGTCTAAAAGCTAAAACGCGCAGTTGCGCAGATGAATATTTTGTTTTGAGCGAGTTTGTAGCTCTGCATTGATACATTCCAGGATCACGTTCTTGATCCAGATATCTTATTGTCAATACATTGTCTTGGATTCGGATTCGGTCGCGTTCTTCAGGATCCATATAACCCATGACTTTTAAAATAATAATTTAGTTTAATTTTTCTAATGTTAGAATGGTGGGTACCTAGTTGTCGTCCGTTCTTCCACCACGTGTAGTTAACATCGGGGATTCCGAACGCCTCACAAGTCCAAACCAATTCACTTTTACTATCGGCGTGTCTGTCAGCTAATGGAATTGTGAAGTTAGGTTCGGCTAGAATTTTCCGGTAATTAGAATTATAAGTCCATTCCTGACAAAATCGCTAACCTTGTATATTCAAAATAACACTATTTTCAGTACTGGCCCTGTCATTGTATGCCCTGCAAATGTATTCTCCTTGATCCTCTACCTGCACATGGGGGATTGTCAACACTCTATTATAACTTGACAAGACCGCAGATCTTGGTAAACGTGCCCCCCGTCTTGTCCAATTATAACTCGGAACAGGACTAGAGAAAAAAATTAATTCCAATCAAATCACAAGATTGCAACTTACTATCCAAAAGCCATACACTCTAAACGCACTTCCTTCCCCGCGATAGGTGCATCGGGAAAAGCTTTCGGGAAGTTATTTGGGAACTTAAGTTGCTGATAATGAGCTGCAACAATCACAATTAACCCAAATAAACTCCAAACAGTTCAAAACTCACAATGAGGATTGACCATCAGTGGGAAAAATGGACCGTTTCTTCCCGAATCGGAAAACTCAGACTGGACACTACAACTGTAATTCGCCTTGTCTATAGTTTCCAAAGCCGAAAAGTACAAAGCCCCGTCATACGATACAAAAACTCGGCGATCTTCCTCGACAAAATTCGGGAAATAGTCACGTGACCAAGAATAACGAACTGAAGGGAAGTGATTCGGAGGATCGCAGTATATGGCTTTCCCCCAATTTTTATCCCCCGATTCGGGGGACCGTTTCAAAACGAATTCTTTGATAAAACCGAAATTGAGTTGCACGCTTTCGGAAATAATTGTTCCGAATTTGTTTGAAGCTTTACAGTGGTATGTCGCATGGTCGCGTTTTTCTTCAGGTTCGTGGATTATCAACATTCCGCCACTAATCGTGTAGCGAGAATCACTGATAGGGTCTATTCTTCGTGCGATGAGTTTGTCGACCTCGTAGTCTTCGCGGAACCATTCATATGTAGGGGTTGGGAAACCACCCGCTAGACAACTATAATAAAAAAATAATAAAAATACACAGAACCCGTTTTTCAATATAATGTAGTACCTCAAACTGATATCGTTATATAATTGTTTTTTAGAACTATCAAAAGTGGCGTCAACTGGTTGTTGGATGAAGTAAGGACCTCTTGGGATTTGCTCGGGATTAGTGATTTCGATACCGTAGGTGTAAGTCCGACCATCTCCGACTAGTCGTTGAATACTTCTAATATCAGCCTCGCATATAAATAAGAGATGTTCATCGCCTCTTACAGGCTGGAAACCCCAATGCATTAACTCTGCGGAAAAGTTATACGCAAGATGATCTTTTCCATAGGGTTCCGCAACCGGCAAAAATGCATTTTCCATATTTACTAATTGAGAACCGTCAACATTAGTCCAATAATTAGCCGACTGTTGGAACGCTCCTATATACCACCTCCTGTGTTGTGGATCCAAAGCATTTAACTGATTAATCAAGAAGCCATGTTCTTCTGTACTACCAATTGAGACTAGATCCGATCTGCCATCGTCAGGAGAAAAGGCCTAAAAACCCGCCTTAAAGATTACTCCTCTACTTAAATAAAAACTCATACTTGACATATCCTCCTTGCCTCCTCATACGGCCTTAACGGCGACCTAATAAACCTATAGCACGACTGGTACAACCTAACCCAGTGTTCTGGACATTTAAAATCGTAGAAAATATCGTTATTCAGACCGTCATTATTGTAAATTCCTGGAGTATTTGGTTGCAGATTATACTGGGGTCCCTGGTTGTACAAAGGTCCTTGAGGGGGTTGTTGATACTGCGGCCCATCCTGTGCGTAAGGTACATTTTGGTCATAAACTGAGTTTTGTGCATTGTAGGGTCGCCCATCTTTGTCATATTGGGGTCCTTGTGCATAAACCAGGAGCGCAAAGCACCCAAGAAGATACAGCAAAAACATAATACCTTAAAAAGAAGCAACATTTTAATTTTGTATTCGGTTAAAATTAATGGGAGTGGCAGGTGGCTGTGAAGAATGTAACCTCAGTTTCAAATGTTTTTAATTCAAATAACCGCGCAATTTTTTTTTGATAACTGATAAGGGATGTCACTTACCAAATCATATAACCCGGATCATAGAAAAGAGATAATAAAGATAACAAAAACCAGAACAACCGTTGTAGAATTGAATCACTCACTCTAAACAGTCATCTTTAGAGAGAGATGGAACGAATACATTTGTAAACATGCAGGGTTGCCAACTCTTGAAATAATGGTAAGTTGATTTAAAAGTGGCGGTGGGTGGTTGAGAAGATTGCAATTTTGCTTTAATGTCATTTTTATTCGTGTTTTATGATGACTTGTGGAATAATTACTTAACAAAGCTCTATTATGTCATATATGTAATAAGCAAATTTAAGTTTATGGGTTGGCCACACTTTTTTACGCCTTCCATATGTCATACTCCCGTCTTAGTCATTGGGTCATTATCAAATTAAAAGATTTTTGTAATAATAGACAAAAGGTCACTATAATATCCATAATAATATTATTAGACAAAGCAAATAAATTTTCCTTATCAGTTATTAAAATTTCCTAAAATCAGGAAATGATAGGTCAATTACTTCAAACAAAAAATTGTTTATTTCAATTAGATTTATTACTATTATTGCTAGCCGAAATTGTATATAAATACATTTATTTTAGTTGTAATTAGTAAGTCGTAATTGTAAGATCTCTAATTATTGTACAACAATATCTGAAAACTCCGTTTAGCAATCATGTGAGTAATACCTTTAAATCGTAGTACTTTGTCATGTTATTGGCAATCATAAAAGCAAAGCCAGCCAAATATACCTATTAGTTACCGACAAAACCCATTAAGATATCTTAATACTTCCATTTAAGTTTCAAAGACATAAATTTCTATTATTATTTGACATTTCATTTCATATATTGTTTTTTTCTTCTTCCATCGGTCTCGAATCAACTAGGCCATGATTTCTTATCACAAATGTCAGAAATGATAAGACGGAAGTGCATCAGCCCACTTGGATGCAAAATTGATACCGCGTTTATTATTATTAGTAATTAATAGTCACCCTATTTTTTCGTGTGCTCAATTTTTGATATTTGGGTACTTTTGGGGTGCATAAAAATTAATTCTTTTTGAGGGAAAAGCAGCTAAATTTCTAGGATTCTATCCTTTTTTTTAAGACGCAAAGTGTCCGGGTCCAGAAGTAACATTTTACATTCTACTTTTTTTCAAATGAACCATAAATTACTCTTCGTTAAATTTTATTACTTTATTATTTGCAATGTAAACAATCATATTTACAAAACGGTACTTCATTTATGTGCATTTACCGTAATACAAAAACTAGATGTTATTTATCTGATCGGAATTATCTTTTATCAAAAGCCCATTTTCTGCTACAACTATATCATCAAAGTGTTATGACCTCTTTGACGTTCAAAACATGTCTTGAAGATTTTCTTGTTAACTACAGACGTGATAAGGAAACAAATTATTTTATTTCTGCTGTATTCTGTGTTGTATGACCTACGAAACTTATCTTGTAATATATGTAAATACGCTATCATTTCTTACATTATTGAGAAACATTCAATTGTCTTAAAATAAAGAATATCGTGTGGCAATGAAGTATTAATTTGTTTTATTTTTATCTCTTTCTAAATCTACACACGGAATATTTGCTTAGCAAATTATGGTGAAGAGCACTGAAAACTTTGCCATCATCTTTTTTAATTATATTTTTAATCCTTGTCATTATCATGATGTCATTTTTTATATACTACCACTCATATCTATTGTCTTTGACATGTAACGCCAACTTCTTAAACCGCTACATGTTTTTTTTATGGAAAATTAATAGCAAACTCATTTGCAAATTTATTATATATGTATTAGAACACCTGGCAACTAGATCTGCATGCACAATGCACTTTGAAATAATAATGATTTCACTGGAATAGCATATGCGAGATAGGTTTTTCGGACTAAGTAGTAGGCTAAATATTTACTGAGTAAATAGGGACTTTAGTACTAAGAGCAAAGTTAAATCGGCATTACGGCTCTGGTATGTAAATAGCTTCGTTTAATATGCACACCAGTTCTTTTAGTTGTTGGATGATACTTGCCATGGATACATTAAACGTTTTTGACTTTTTGGATAGAATAGTAAAATTGATAAAAGAGGAACATATTTTAAATCCTCAGGAAGCTAATAAAGTCATTGAATATGTAGATCCCCAAGATTTGAAGGTAAGTTGATTTGAATTTATTATATTGTTTTGTTAATAATTAATTTTGAAAGAATAAAATTGATTTGTCCTTGACGGATCCGTGTGCGAATTTGGAAGAACTTGAAGCGGTTTGCAAAGACATTATAAAATACAGCATTAAAACAAATAGTGCAAAATTTCATAACCAGCTATACGGGGGCACGGATTTGTACGGTCTTGGTGCAACTTGGCTCGCTGAATCATTGAATACGAATCAGCACACTTTTGAAGTCGCCCCCGTATTTTCCATAATCGAGCTAAAAATCTTAGAAGAAGTTAAAAAATTAATCGGTTATAAAGAAGGCGATGGGATTTTTTCCCCAGGCGGTAGTATATCAAACATGTACGGGATGGTCCTCGCCCGGTACAAAAAATTCCCCGAGACCAAAACAAAAGGACTTCATGGTTTACCAATCTTGGTCGCTTTTACTTCCGAAGAAGCAAGTCATTTTGTACAATTAGGCGACAGTGATTAAAAAACTATTTCAGGGACATTATTCTCTCCAAAAGAGCGCCCAATGGCTGGGTCTAGGCACCGATAATTTAGTTAAGATTAAAACTGATAATTTCGGGCGGATGATTGCCGAAGAGCTGGAAAAGGCAATCATCTCGAGGAAGGCGATGGGTCATGTCCCGTTTTTTGTCAACGCTACTGCTGGGACTACGGTCGTGGGGGCGATAGACCCTTTAGATAAGATAGCAGATATTTGCGAAAGACACAATCTTTGGCTCCACATCGACGTAATAATTAATAGACTATTCAAACTCGATCCAAATTTGAATTTGTTTTAGGCTTGTTATGGAGGCACTCTTTTACTTTCTAAAAATTATAAGGAACGGCTAGAGGCATCGCACAGGTGAGCGTAAAATTGTATTAGTCACTGATTTTTTGCTTGGCTCATTTTTACTAGATCGGACTCGTTTGCTTGGAACCCACACAAAATGTTAGGTGCTCCATTGCAATGCTCAATATTTATAACAAGACATAACGTAGGATGGATATATTTCATTGTACTTATATTAACGGGTCTATTTTTAGAATATTCTTCATGAATGTAATTCAGCTTCAGCTGTATATTTATTCCAGCAAGATAAGTTTTACGATGTCTCGTATGATACAGGGGATAAGAGTATACAATGCGGCCGCAAAGTACGTACCAGGCAAAATTTTCCAAAATTTACTCAAAAAGTTTTAGGTCGACGGTTTCAAATTGTGGGTAATGTGGAAAGCCCGAGGAAAATCAGGATTTGAAGACCTTGTGGATAATGCAATAGAGTGTGCTAAGTAAAGTATCTTAAAGTTAAGACGGCCCAAAACTAATATTTTGTTCAGTTATTTTAAGACAAAAATTTCAAATTTGGAGGGTTTTAGACTGGTTCAGGATAGTTTCGAGACAACAGCGGTTTGCTTTTGGTATATCCCTCGTAAGATGCGCGACGGTAAAGAAGACGATGAATGGTGGAAAAAAATGAACAATGTAAGTGGTTCGTTTATAAAAAACAAATCCAACAATCGTTTGCAGGTGGCTCCCGCAATTAAAGAAAAATTAGTGAAGAGTGGCAAATTGATGATAGGTTATTCGCCTTTGGTTCATCGAGGTTTCTGCAATTTTTTTCGCATGATTACCACTTGTCATCCCGTTCCGACTTATTCGGACATGGACTACGTCATCGAGCAAATAAAACAAATTGGGGAAGTTATGTAATTTTTCTTTAATAAATACATGAGTCGTAAAAAGTGTTTAATTTAAGCGGCAGTGAAGTGTCGCTAATGAGACTAAACCTATTAATGATACAATGCCGCAGACGTAAGAGAGTACGTCTTCGTAGAAGTGTGGGCACATTTCCTTCGGCGTACATTGGCTGCAATAAAAAATGCTATAACTGGATTTAAAAGTTAAAAAAGTCATACAGGTTCTGCACGAGAAGAACGACACCGCCTGATATTAATTTATCCGTAAATGTTACTGTGCTATAGACAGAAGCCCCGCCATAACCATTGACTTTAACGAATTCTGCAGTTAAACATAAACTGGATACCATAGTTGCAGAACCACTTACACCTGCAGCAAGATCAAGATTATTCCAGATATGATAATGATCCAACATCCAACCATTACCTATTAGTGAGGCAATTACATATAATTGACTATCCGATCGAAACAAAAACCCTAATTTTATCCAAACGCTTCCAATTAAGGCCAATATAATGCCGAACAGATAGACTACCTAAAAACAAATTTGTAGCGATTTCCAAAAACGGAACGCGATACCTTATCGCTGCACTGTCTAAGCCTGAATTTGAGAGCTATAGAAGTCAGAAATGAAGCCACGAAGCAGACTAGTGGAACACTTGCTATTGTTTGCCTAATCCCATCCCCCGTGTCCTCCGATCTCGCTCCTTTTTCATCCAGATACAATGGAATATAAATAAGTGTTAACGTCGTGAATAACCTTGAAGCCATATACCTGATGGAAAAGTGCTAAGTTAGAAATTTATTATAGCGATAATCCTCTTCTTGTACATTAACGAAACCTTGTAAATTATTGATGATTTCAAAAAATGCGTGACTGCTTCATTTGTGACCAAACCACTGGAATCTGATTCACTTTCCGGGATTATCTCATAGTCACTTTGACTCTCCTCTTTCGTAAGTGCCCCACAGTAAAATATGAGCGAGGCGAAAATTCCTATTAAAGTTATAATCAAAGATATTTCCTGAAAAGATTTTTGGTGATTCTAACAAGGAAATGAGTCGATTTTTACCTTGAACTTGTAAAAATCATCAGGACCGATTTTATTCGGGTCATTATCATTTTTTAAAACTATAAGAGTTATTAAATATACGGAAATACTGCAACAAACAGTTGCTGTGTATCTAAAAACAAGGTTATTGATGATTCAAGTTCAGGCAATTCGCAATTAATTAATTAATTCATGACTGTAATAGCAAATGTGATGTACGATGTGATTTGAATGAATGATTCATGTTACCTAATTGCGGTCAAATCAGAAGTGTATCTATGAGTAGTCGCTATTTCCGGTATAATGGACAAATGGGATATTTGGGTTATGGCCCAACCTATTTGGAAGAGACTTATGACAAAACCGTAGTCGATAAGCACCCATGTGTTAAGCGGAGTTGGTTTTAAACAATAAATCAAAGAAAATCCAACAGACACCGCTAATGTTCCTGGAAACACAATGCTTACATGTAAATAACATGCTAATATAGACAGACAGGTTTTTGTAGTTGTGTCAATAAGATTTTTTATTTCTCTATATGTAATACAATTAGTTCGACGACTAAATTGAATTAATGTATCCATAGGACACGCAATAAAACCCTGCCGAAACTTTTGATATCACGCGGCGAGTCAATCGGATACTTGCATAAATTTCCATATAATGCGTAGATAATAGATACACAAATTAAAATTTTCTTACTGTTGTAATGTATGTGCATATATTAGAAAAATAGCTCGGGGGTGAGTGGGAACGAACGCCACTGTCTTATACTATAGTAGAGTATATACACAGTGACCGTGAAGATGTTGACGCACCTGCTAAATGCCACGCCCTCCGGGCACCAGTGCGGTCCACGGCACAGCCGACTACGGGAGTAGCCAGCGCGTCTACGACTTGTCCTGAAACAAACCGGCGATTAGTCACGTCACTCCGAATTGTAGTATTTTTTCCACCGAGAAGCCATTAATTTAAATTAGAAGACGAGTGAAATATAGCGCTTTCGCGGTTTATATCCACGTAATTATCCGTGGTAAAGAGTGGCAAATCATTTTTTCGCTAACGTTTCGTCAAGCGTCAAGACAAACAAAGCATTGACACAAAAATTTATCTATTTCTAAATCCATGTTTTGTGGCTCTGCGGGTTTTTATTTATTTTATTCAAAACAGGTTTTTTCAACAATGACATAAATTTCACCGAAAACTTTATTTTATGCCATTTTCGTTTATAGTCGAAGTTTTCTTATTAAAAATTTAAAGGCCCGCATGAGGTGCAGCAATAGTCGTAAATAAATAAACGTCACAACGCGGAAGACAGACACTAAATTTTGACATCATTGTTGTTGACTCTGTATATTTAGCTAACATTAGGTAATTGGCGGTAAAACGAAGCAAAAACGGTCCTCTCGACCGTAGCTTTGTTTAACCAGTTGTGAAGAAATTGTTCTTTAATTTGATTAAAATAAAATTAAATAATATTCACTTTCGAAAAAATATTTTGTAACGGTGATTATTACATGTAACAGTAATTGATCAACCATAACTTATACAAACAGCATTTCCTTCATGTCGTTTTGTACTATTAAGGACAGTTAATGTGTATAGTTGAGTTTGTCTAAATTGTGGGTTAAGCTGCACGAAAACAGTTACGTCTTTATTGAATGGTCAGTAACTCATTTAAATCAGGTTGTGGTAGAACATCACATCGCTATTTAGCGCTACTCTGACTTAACTACTATAAACCTACTGAATGAAACAATTTGTTTACTTAAATAACGAGTCTACGAGATTAAAATGCGATATCTAGCATTGTTTACGTCCAAAGGAATTTGTAATAATAGGCAATAGCTTTATGTATACAACTCACATTATCCTTGAATCTTAATTCGGGTTTGTTATATTTTAATAAATATTTTGCAGGTGTTCAGTTGATAGCCTTGCTACTTCTCTTTTATGATTTCATTAAACGGAAAGTTGTAGACACCATCTATCATAAAGGAAATTATTACTTATTTAAATCATATTTATTTAAATCGCTCGCCTACGAGATTTACGATTCATATGGTAATTACACAAATGCCCTAGTATATTTTATGTAACTAAATCAATAAAACTACCGCAACTAGGATCATTGTTTGCTAAACTATACTTTTGCACAACACTCGGAAAATTTTGCAACAATAGCAAGGAGAACACATTTTCACCAGCTTTTACCCAATGACAATATACACGGTGAATCTACCAAAAATTAAATTAAAACTACTTTCATACGTAAAGAAATCCTCCAATTTCTAACTTAGATCTTTAAAGATTTTTAGAAATCTTCTGCCAACACATTATTCAAATTATTCAGAAAAATAAAATATTTCACAAAGCATAATTACTAGAGTTTCATAATTTAAATTTATTACTGCGTCTGGTATTGACAATTAACACCACACCAATGTTACAAATGATTTTTAAGATCAAAAGATACGCCTCTTAGTTTTAGTTTAATTTCATATACCTATTTTTTTAATTAAACCTTTATGAATGAATGTTTTTCTGTCACAACTTACAAAATACTGTAAAACAGTTTTTTTTTATTATAGCTCAGATGAAAATTTTGGTGACTAACAAATAATTATAAAATATTTTGTTCAATTTCGTTTGATTTAATAGATTTGAGAACCTTTTAGTCGCTCCACTATAGGTGTAAAAAACATTCTTTTATTCCGTTGTGGTCCATTATGATATCATCGATATCTGAAATGTCGAAACCTTGATCACATTAAGTAGGAAATAATGCGATGTGTCCATTTATGTAAAACTGTAAAAATCAAGGTCTGCGGTTTTCACTTTGTACACCTCAATCGGGTTTTTTTCGATTTCTTAATCGGTCACTAATCGAGTCGGACCAATTAGGAGTGGGCATCGAACTCACCTGTCATTATGAGAATACCGGCAGTTTTCGACTCCATTTGTAAAACAATTTGCAGATAAAATAGAGTATAAGAAAACCACATAGCCGCACAAAGATCATTATAAACGTGACCCATTCCGTAGCATAATTTTTGTACCCAATCACATCTCCTCTCCAGGTTCACCATATCGAGCTGAAAAAAGAACACCCAAATTTTATCACGAAGTTTGTACCTTTGACTAAAAACGTGACAAAGTCAAAAGGGGCATAGGGAGAAAAACGTGACAATTGCTAAATTCCACTTTTCGGCTAATGGCAGATTAAGGTTGAAAGAATAGGGGTGTGAAAAGCCGCTATGAATTTGGATGCATCATAGGAATAAATGTACTAAACAAGCCCAAAAATGCAAATGATGGAGATCGTGGTGGTAGGCTGGCTTGTCGAGCCGCACCTATGGGACAATGGCAAGCAGCATGCAATATAAATGATTTTGCGAAGGGTAATGAGAAAATAAAAATAAGTTTTAGTCATATGGAGTGCATAATAAATTGTTGACTCACCGGAAAATGGGGTTCGAACCCTTCGTGCAGCTCTCTTTACCAGACTGGCACGCACCTTTCTAAAGTCTTGTAGGGTTTCGTCAGCCATCATGCTTGAAATACAACACCGATAACACTATTAATTAAAAATGACAATCTGCTACTATTAGTTTCCCTTCGGGCTGCAAACGTATTAATTTACCGTATTAGTGTAATAGTTTAACGGTTAATAATGAGCTTAAGGAAGGGTCCGACTTCCTGCTGAAGATGTCCATTTTTAGGCGAAACAGAATTGACAATAGGAGCATTTTATGTGTGACCATAAGTTATAATCAAATTTTTAGCCAGCTGGTGCTGGACATGAATGAAAAACGCCTACCATATTTCCAGTCCAGGAAACTAATAAATATTTTATTTGTATATTTCAGTGCAGAACCGGACTAGCCACTTATGTAGGTATACACACATTGCATAATATTTTTATTGAACGTAGTACAGCCGTGTCAGTTGTACCGTAAGCTTTTAAAGTTTTTAGAACGTGACATAATTTGTCACTAACACTACTTCCAGCCAACGCAAAGTTGTAACTCTGACATTTCACCTTCCATTTTACGGTCTCGATAAACCGATTCATTAACCATTAAGTCGTTACTTAATTTCAGTTTTAACGACATTGCAGGTTTCATTAAAAATATGAAAGCGGGCGTGAAAAATCAAAAAAATTTGCAACACCATTAACTTTTTGGTTTGGCAACAACCACCAAGTCATAATGAGACATCAATATGATAAAAAAAACAACTTGCGTTACCTGACCATTTAATATCAACAAGATTTGAGTTTACAATTTACATATTCGTAAAGGCACGCATGCGTAGTAATCCCACTATAATAACACAAAACAAGTACTTAATACGTGGGCAAAATAAAACTCGAAAGTGAACCAGTTGTAGAACCGGTCTCAACAAAAAATAAATCTAAAGCATGTTATATGTCAACGTCTGAGTCTGAGAGTCGATTCATGCTACACAACACAATCCTTTGCCTGGATACGCTGAAATCAGTGCGATCCTGATCACTTTTCATAATGTACCAATTTTATGTTGGGACAGGTTTGTATGACTGCAATCGCACACCTGTTTCGCGTTGATACTGATTTAAAAGAATTTGATTTCTTCAGAATACATTACCGAAGATAAATCCTTGTTTCATAAGCACTATTTACTGCTTTTATTCTAAGCCCGCAATCAACTATTACCTAATATTATCATTAGTAGGTTCAATCGGCTCCGGGCTGTATTTACATATTTATACAATAACTTAGAACCGTTCGAAATTACCTACGTATAATCGAAAATTCCGTTGCATTGTCCCAATTTCAACACTCCAAAACTCGATCTCATTCTTTGATTTAAATTTCGTCTGCCTGTTGTCTGGACAACTTTCAGCAGTTTGACATTTTCCAATTTCCAAAATTGATGCTTTCAAAAGCACCTACGCTGTGGAATGATTTTGACCAATTACGCAACTATTAGAATATATGGCGTGAGAGGATCGTAATGCGATCATCAATAAACCGAAATAGTTTTATGGCAAATTCTCGGAATTTCGACATGTAAAAATTGGTTTTTGAGCTTTTTCTCACTTGATGACTTGTGAAGCATTAAGATAGTGTGAGACGAGGTCGTTATTTATTTTATCAGGGTTAAAAATAACAGTAAACCCTTGTGAAATAAAACGTCTAAGTGGCGTCCGACGAAAGATTAAAGAACAACCCTGTTATTGATACGTCTTGAGGGAGCTTGAAGGGTTTCAGATGTGATAATTTCGTTATTTATGGCAAATTATAGATGCCAATAGTGCATTAGTGAAAAGTTGGATGTAAATGTTCAAGGAGCGTGACGATTAGATAATGCTGGTACTACTACAGTACTCGTTCATACCGACATACGCTTGTATGATTTCTTAGTTATACAATCTCAGTATGACCGAAGGCAGTAGTTAGACTGGAAAACAGAAAGCACCTGTCTAAGATTGTGCGGTCGCTGATCTTGGTTCATTTCTTTTATGTCCGCCAATGATGGGTTTTCATTGGATGCCGTCGGCGACACAACAGCTAGATGAAGTGAGCGACAAACATAAAATATTGAAAAAGCAACACCTCTTCATTACATTGCAAAAACCTATTTATAGCCATGCAAATCAAAAATCTTTCAAAAAGAATCAACCGACGTATCTTCACACCACCATTAAAACTAACATAAATAAACAAGTTCTTTTAGCAAAATATTTGTAAGGTTTTGTAAAAATGGAAACTTGTTTATCTTTCACAAGATCCGAGCACCTACCATCTTCAACACCTACAGAATAAGACCAATTAATTGCCTGACGACGAAAATAATTAACTTTCTAATGGTGCGGCTCCTATAAGTCTGCCAGACAAAACTCTCGTTTCGGAGACTTGTCCTAGAAATCTTAAATTAAATTTAGTTTCGTCTAATCTGTAATTTAAAACCGAAAAAAATTAACCTTTAGCTATGCTCCATTATTCTGAGGATCAGACAGGGCTAAGGCACTTTCCAGAAATAAAACATTTTATACTGTTTTCTTCACCTTTGGATAATTTGGCAATGTTTCCCTCTGGCGATGCCAAATTCAGCAAAGATGACTCAATTTTTACATTTGCTTCCCACAATTAGTGTCGACTTTTTGACTTTTTCAAAATTAAGTTATTAAAAACAATTGGTATTTGTAAACAAAGGTGACACTCGTGGGAGTCTTTTATTATATCTAACACCTCTATATAGCAACTTCTGTCAATGTCATTAATTTTTATCTCCAATAAAACGTCCCTTCCAAGCAGCTTTTGCATCGATTATTTTATTATCAATATTAAAATGCTTTTGCGTTGTTAAAACTTTAATGACGTTACTGGTGGACTGTTTTAATGAGGATTTTTGTAATAATTTCAATGAAAGCACATCAAATCAGTGAATTTATGGTCACGGAAGGGTTTTTATTAGACAATATAGAGCCGCCGTAAGGGAAACACTCTGTATATATTTATCGTTAACACCGGTTACAATGACTTTTACTACATTCACATATGAGGTTTATGACATCTTAAACAACAATGTAGGAATAATCTGGTTTTGTTCTCATAATTTTATTGCTACAGTGCTGATTTTTTCCAAAGGTAACTGTATCTAAATGTTCTGAAAAAATTGGGAAATTAGTGAGTACATAAGATTATCAAGTATATGAGACGAAATTGTGGATTGTCTCCTTCAAACATTGTACAACGTGTATTTACGGTTCTATATATGGCGTAAGAAAGATGTTGATGAAATATGGTTCCTCAGAAGATAATGTGAGAGCATTGTGTAATTAATTATCGCTTAAGATTAGTCAAAATGACACTAAATATCGCAAAACGTAACAAATATATAATTAAAGAGCAGTTTCCTAACGGAGATGTTCTAAAATGATTTCGTAATATAAACTGGTCCTCGGTAATTTCTCCATGTGCCAATGTTACCAAAATTAATATCGCCCATTCATTCTGCTAATGGTCACGATTTTGAACGTGTCATTAGTCATCATATAAATTCCAAAAAGACAAATAGAGCAACTTTCATTAATGTCGATAATTTCAACCAATTTCCGCCTCATTATTTTCCAGATTAAAAGTGCGATCTGGCATCAACTCACGTTTCCGGTACATGCAAATTCCTATCATTTTCAAATAGCAGATATAACGGGGGCCCTATTATACAACAAAAAGCGACCATGACGCGGACGGAAAAGACCACTATTCGAGATAAACAAAGATGGCTGGATCTACTCGTCTTAAGTGATTTTTTTTTATTGTTACCTGCACGAAGAACAGGTAAACCAGGTTCCATCAGGTAAGAATTGTCACGGTCACATGATGGACGAAAGACCACCGAGACCCCAAAAGCTTCAAAGCAAATAGTAGCAGCCATTTTAAAATGATCGAAAATCGGGCCATGATTTTATTCAGATCGCCTTCCCTTTTCGCTTTTATCGTTTGCATACATTATTGTGTTACAGTCGCAAATTTGAAATATCAAGGCTAGTGTTGGGTTTAATTATACAACTACTATTGAAATCACACGATAATAAAATTTTAATATTTAACCAACACTTGTCGCTCACTTCCCACATGGTGACACAACTGAGAAAAATAGCTGAAACAATCTTTAAATCTATTCTCATGTGTTGTTGTTTTCTATCGTAGAATTTTTTCCGAAAAGTATTGCTTCAAGCAACTTTGAAGTTCGAACGGTTTATTTTTTGCAATTGGCTCAAATTGAAACGTGACCGATTTGGATCAAACTTATTGCATCTTTTATAAGCAAACTTCCGTTGGGAATGAGAATCGAATTATATCAAATTATTATTCAAATCCTCTTCTTATGGAAACCATCACGACGCAATGATACACAACCTCACAAAGCACTTTTATTAGACAGGCTTTAAGCCCTTGCACCTGCTTGAGAAATGTGCTTATTTTTCCCACATCCTGTATAATAAAACCACAGGGAAGCAATATTTAATTGTGAAAGAAATTATTTTCGAAAATTACAATTGTAACAATTTTTATGTTTTCTTTTCTCAAGATCGGAAACAACAAAATTCATGGTTGTATTTTACCAGTGGTTGTTTTCAGAAAGTGTTTCCACTAGAGTGGAAACGACAATACGATATTTAGAAGAAGCTGAAATTTCTATAGCAAAAATATAACATGCAAGAAAAATTTGCCATTTATTCTTTAAAGTTCCACTTCAGTAATTCATGTTTTCGTTAGTTGATTAAAAATATTGATAGCTAGTCTCTTGGTAAATTAGTTGTCCAATTGAGTGGTTACCAAGGTTTGTTTATTGTTTATTGACTGCCTTCACTCAAATTCAGAAATTGTTACAGTCAATAAAACTCCGAATTAATAAAGAAAATATTCTCTCTAATTAAGAGTGACAAAAATCAGTGTTCAGTAAAAATAGCGCGTGTGTTTGCCTTCCGGAAAAGATTATAAATATTGAATTATTCTCTTTGTGTACATAAAAAACGCAAACAATTTTATAAACATTTACTTTACTTTCAGTTTTCTAATAACATAACGTAACAGTTAAAGGTAGGTGTCGCATGAAATTGTGTTAATCGCCAATAAATTTAAATTAGGTGAAAAATAAAATTTTGGAGCGATGTAATTAAGATTGCAGTTTTGTGGGCGATTATACTCAAATTTCTCAAATTTATGGACAAAAGCACAATTTTTTTTTTCAAGATTAGTAAGCGTAGCCATATCGGACTTGATCAATATGTATACTTAATAAAAGTAACAGTAGTAACAATAATGCGTTGTATTGTGACGTTTTGCCCATTTTTGTTGATAATTCTCTATGACTTGCTTTCTATTTTAGTAATTATAAGATAATTGTTTAAGGTGACCAACTTCAGAAAATTCATTAATAAAAATAATTATAATTTATTCCAGAACACACAAAAAATAGGTCTTACTAATTTACCTATATAAAAATTTAAATATAATAATATAGAATGCAAAA